ACAGCCACTTGCAGTGACTCACAGCAGCTCACGGTAGCTCTCGCCGGCTGCTGGCCACTCATGGTAGCTCACAACAGCCCATTGCAGACCCTCACTGCAGCAGGGGCTGCAGCCTATGCTGTCACCCACTACTTAGGGCAGCTCAGCTCCAGGTAGAGCTGTTGTTCACAGTCTTAGCTGTAGAGGACACAGTGTCACTTGCCCATGTGGGAACCGAACTGGCAGCCCTGCTGCTCAGAGCTCGTGCTCCCAAGCCAACTCTTCATCAACTGAGCCACTCGGCTGGCCCCCAGTAATTTTCATATATGCAATACACTTATATAAGAAACTTGTCCCTTTTGCCATAGGAGAGTGTTGCCACCTACCATCCTGGCCCCCTCCAGCTCTGGCAACCACCAAACCGTTGTCCATATCTAGGATTTTTTAAAAAAATATTTCACATATAAGTGAGATCATACAGTATTTGTCTTTCTCTGTCTGACTTATTTCACTTAGCATAATGCCCTTAAGGTCCATGCATGTTATCACAAATAGCAGGATTTCTTTTTTTTTTAATTGCTGAATAATAACCGTGTGTATGTGTATCACATTTTCTTTATGCATTTATCTATTATGGACACTTAGGTTGTTTCTGTATCTTGGCTATTGTAAATAATGCTACAATGAACCTGGGGGTGCAGATATCGCTTCAAGATAGAGATTTCATTTCCTAAGAACAAATACCCAGTAGATGAATTGCTGAATGACTTGGTAGTTTTATTTTTAAGTTTTTTGAGGAACCTCCATACTATTTCCATAGTGGATGCACCAATTTACATTTTCACCAACAGTGCACAGAGTTGCCTGTTATCCACATCCTTTCCAACACTTGTTATTTCTTCTCTTTTTGATAATAGCCATTCTAACAGGTGTGAAGTGATACCTCATTGTGGTTTTGATTTGCATTTCCATGATGATTAGTGATATTGAGCTCCTTTACATGTTCCTTTTGGCCATGTGTATGTTTTGTTTGGAAAAATAATTATTCAGTTCTACTGACCATTTAAAAAATTTTTTTTTCGCTATTGAGTTACTGAGTTGTATGAGTTCTTTTTTTTTTTTGCTATTGAGTTACTGAGTTGTATGAGTTCTTTATATATTTTGGATTTTAACCCTTTTTAGGATATATGATTTGCAGATATTTCTCCCATTCCCTAGGTTGCCTTTTCATCTTGTTGATTGTTTCCTTTGCTGAAGAAAAGCTTTTTAGAGTGATATATTGTTTACATTGCTTTTGTTGCCTTTGCTATGTTGTTAAGCCCACAAATCATTGCTAAGACCAGTGTCACGGAGCTTACCCCCATGTTTTCTTCTATGAGTTTTATGGTTTCAGGTCTTATGTTCAATTATTTAATCCATTTTGAGTTGATTTTTTTGTATAATGTAAGATATTAGTCCACTTTTATTCTCTTGCTTGTGGCTGTCGAGCTTTGCCAACAACATTTATTTTACCATTGTATATTCTTTGTTCTTTTATCATAAGTTAACTGAACATACGTGTGCGGATTTATTTTTGACTCTATTTTGAGTTGATGTATGTGTCTGTTTTTCTACCAATGCCATACAGCTTTGATTCCTATAGCTTTGTAATATGGTTTGAAATTAGGAAGTGTGATTCCTTCAGCTTTGTTCTTCTTTCTCAAGATGCTTTGGCTATTTGGGGTCTTTTGTGGTTCCATAGAAATATTAAGATTGTTCTGTTTTTATGAAAAGGACCATTGGAATGTTGATAAGGATTGAATTGAATCTGTGGGTTGCTTTGGACATTTTAACAATGTTAAGTCTACTAATTCAGGAGTACAGAATGTCTTTCCATTTATTTGTGTCGTCTTCAATTTCTTTTATCAACCAATACAGTTTTCAGTGTACAGGTTTTTGTCTATTTTGGTTATATTTGTTCTTAGGTATTTTATTCCTTTTGATGCATTGTAAATGGGATTGTTTTCTTAATTTCTCTTCTTGATATTTTGCTGGTAGTGTATAGAAATGCTACTGATTTTTGTATATTGATTTTATTTATCTTATAACTTTACTGAATTTGTTGATTAGTTCTAACCGGTTTTTGGTGGATTCTTTAGGGTTTTCTACATGTAGGTTCATATTATCTGCAAATCATGACAGTTTTACTTCTTCCTTTTTGATTTGCATGCCTTTTATTTTTTTGTGTTGCTGAATTGCTCTATTTAGGATTTCCAGTACTATGTTGAGTAAGAGTGGTGAGAATGAGCACCCATTGTCTTGATCTCATTTCAGAGGAAAAGCTTCTAATCTTTTATTGTTGAGTATGATGTTACCTGTGGGTTTGTTGTGTTGGCCTTTATTATGTTGAGGCACTTTGCTTCTGTATCCAATTTCTTGAGGGTTTTATCATGAAAGGATGTTGAATTTTATCAAATACTTTTTCTGTATCTATTGAGTAATTGTTTAATTTTTATCTTTCATTCTATAAATGTGTTGTATCACATTTACTTGTGGATATTGACACATACTTGCACCCCTGGAATAAATCCCTTTCTATCATAGTGCAGGATTCTATTTTTAAGATACTGTTGAATTTGGTTTCCTAATATTTTGTTGAGAATTTTTGCATCTATAGCCATTAGGGATATTGGTCTATAGTTTTCTTTTAGTGTCCTTACCTGACTTTGGTATAAGGGTAATGATGACCTCCTAAAATGAGTTTAGGAGTATTCCTTTCTTTTTAATTTTTGGGAAGAGTTTGGGAAGGATTCACATTAATTCTTTTTAAATTGTTTGGTAGAATTATCAATGAAATCATCTGGTCTTGGACTTTTCTGTACTGGGAGGCTTTGATTACTAATTCAGTCTCCTTACTTGTTTTTGGTCTCTTCGTATTTTCTTTTTCTTGATTCAGTCTTGATAGGTTGTATGTTTCTAGTTATTTTTCCATTTCTTTTAGGTAATTCAATTTATTGGCATATAATTGTTCATAGTATTCGCTTGATTATCCTGTGTATTTTTTTTTTCTTTCTAAAAATTTTGTTGGGGAATTGGGGGAGGGGAACAACATTGGGGAATTGGGGAAGGGGAACAGACAAGTTGCTGTCCTTTTGTTCTTTAGTCTAGTTGTGGAGGATGCTGCTTCACTGGCCTATGTTGGTATTATGATCATTGCGCTTTTCCCAGTTAAGGCAGTCAGTCGCCAGCCATTGGATAAGCACTCGTGTTGGCTCACGGTAGCTTTTGCCGGCCACCGGCCACTCATGGTAGCTCATGGCAGCTGACTGCAGCAGAGGCTGCAGCCTATGCTTTCGCGGGTGACTCATGGCAGCCCAGCTCCGGGTCGAGCTGTTGTTCACAGTCTTAGCTGTAGAGGGCATAGCGTCACTGGCCCATGTGGGATCCGAACCGGCGGCCCTGCTGCTCAGAGCTCATACTCCCAAGCCAACTCTTAACCAACTGAGCCACTCGGCTGGCCCGAGGATTTTTTTTAAATTTCAGAATCTTCAACAACAAAGTGTACTATATGTCATTATTTGAAAAGTATAACTATAGGGAATGTTTCTTCTCTACAGAAGGAGGATAGAGTCCTTAGAGCTCCTGAACAATAAGCCTAAATGACCAATTGGAGGAGATGATACCAGGCGAATCCCTGAGAAGGGTCATAGCACAAGCCAATCACCACCACCCATCCCCGACATAAATTGCAGGGGGAGCTTAAAGTAGATACAGATTTTATCTCATTTACTCTTTGAAGCTCATGAAGGTACTGCATTGAAACAGAAATGCTAACAAGATGTGTTTAGGCAAGAAGAAAATCTGAGACAAGGGTCCTATTTCCAAGGAGACTGCACATGGTATTGAATAAACACACAAATTCTTACGTCTCCTTCAAGTAGCTGAGGATTGAGTAGATAGATGGTCCTGCCTTGGATTCAGCTGAAGGCTGAGGAGAGATGTCCATGTAACAGAGGCATCTATCTCAGCATATCTATGCCACAGAGTAGAAGAAGAATGCAGTAGTCTCTGGTTTTAGCAGCACTAGAGGGTTGTGAAAAGGTGCCTAGAGGCATCATAACAGTGTTAACTGTGTGGACTCAAAAGAGAGTGATTGCTTGGGTTTAAATCCAGACATGTGAGGTATGATCAAAACATATGGTGAATGTTTAAATAAGAAAAAATTATTACAATAAGAGACACATTGCCATCAACCCCTCTAAAAATAATCCCCCTCACCCTGAAAACATCCATTCCACCATTCCTGCCACTTTCTGAAGCAGCTCGGGAAGTCCTCTTTTGTGGGTGTATTTAGTTGTGCTGTCGTGGCTGCCTCGATGTCCTGATTTGATTCAAAATGGTTTCATTTCATGGTCATTGTGACTTTGAGGAAGAGCCAGAAGTTGTATGATGCCAGATGTGGTGAATAAGGTTATCCTGTGTATTTTTGTGGTATGAGATTTGATGTCTCCTCTTTGATTCCTATTTATTTTTATGAGTCTTTTCTTTTTTTCTTAGCTTGTCTGGCTAAAGGTTTGTCAATTTTGTATGTCTTTTCAAAAAGCTATATCTTAGTTTTGTCAATCTTTTATATTGTTTCTTTGGTCTCCATTTATTTCTGCTCTGATCTTTGGTGTTTCCTTTCTTCTGCTTCATTTGTTCTTCTTTTTCTAAGTCCTTGAGGTGTAAAGTGAGGTTGTTTGCTTTTAGTTAGATCTCTTTGTATTATTCTTTTGCTCATTTCTCATGTGTAGAATTCTGCGGTGTGGTTATCTTCTCCCTCCCCTCTTCCCCCTCAAGAAACATGGAGAATTTAAAGGTAGAAAAGGGATGAGAACTCATTTCTCAAATCTTAGTTTATTTATTTTTTTATTGTTTAGATCATATGCTCTTCTATGTGGGATTGTATTTGTAACTTACTGATTTTTATCTTGCATATGTGCCAGCTGGCTTCAAAATTCATTTGGGTTTAGAAGAATTGAATATAATATTTTCTTTTCCAGGGCTTCACAACAAAGTAAGACAGTAGATAATAATTATGCAAAACAGGCTGCACATACCAAAGAAAAGAGAAGAGATGATGATGTCATTTCTCTTGTAGTGTCTGATACTCAACCTAAAGGTTTGTTAACCTTAGAAAACTTGTCATTTGAATTTTTGTGTATTGCTTTTATAATAATTTTAAAATTGTAAATAACTTTATTTAATTTTACATTTCAAAGATATGTGAAAATAAAGGGAGATTATTTAGCTACTTAAAGAAAATGGCTAAATTTACTATTTGAATGTTGTAATATATATTTCTTGATTCATTTACTAAATTCATAAGTAAATTTGGATTTTTGTTGTTATTGTTGGGGCTGGGCATATATACCTATAAAGATATAATGTTAGTTTAGCTATTTCTAAGTGTTTCCATGGATATGTTTGGGAGTTGATATCACTGCTAACTCGATTATTATCATTAGCTTCCCAGTGTCTTTCCTCCTACTGTCAAATACATTCTTTATTCATTAGAATTTCTCTCAACTCTAGGAGGATGCCAGTATAAGCCACTATTAGCATTTTTAAAGGTAAATACATTCCAGACTACTGAAAATTCTTTGTAGGCCTCCTGGCATGCAGAGTCAATGAGCTGACTTCTCTTTTTCTTTGTCTCTTTTTTAAGATTTTAAAACAATTTACAAAAATTTGCACCAGAACAATTTACTACATTAGTCAGATGGGAAACTAACATCTTCAGGGGTCTCTTGGATTATTGATAGCTTCAAACTAGTGAGGTATTTTGTTTTCTGTATGATTTTATAAATTATTTGTAAGAAAAGGTGGTCCTTTAATGACACTATGCAAAATTTCTTTGTACTTCCTTTGAAACACAGTTATTTACACATTTTTAGTAGCCTTTTCTATACAAGAAGAAAACTTATAAAGAAACTAGACTAATAACTTTGATGTATACAAAAACCCAGCTGCAACTCTTATGAGGGCAATTTTCAGAGAAAACATTGTGACTCTATTCATAATCTTCCAATTAGTCACTAAGTACTATCTGCATATAATGAAAGACATTTCTTTTCTTATGAACTGTGCTTTTCCCAGAAACAATTACCTTTACTTATCAAGTAAAAATATAAGTATTTGTATAAGTGGGTTCAGTTCAGATACTATCAAGACACTGTTAAGCCCTGACACTTCACTGCTTTTCTAGATAAAGTAGGAATAGTTAAATAAAAAGCTTTCTGATTTGTGCCCTTCGGTATTAGTAAAATGTCACAGTGGAATTTTAGATATACAGCAGGGAAAAAAATGCGTAACAATAGAAATGCATTATATTTTCTTAGTATCATCCCTGAAGGTTCTGAAAATATAGGTATTAAAACTTTATTAAAACTCATTATGTTTTCATCCTATTGATAATTATGTTTAATACCAGTTGTTTAACACAAAGGCCATAAATTAATGGGAATTCTTAATTAAACCCCAGGTATACCGTTCTTTTGTAGTACATTAAATTTGCCTTGTGAAATTTGCTTTTATAAAAATAAAACATTGGGGAAATATTTAATATTTTTTGTTTATAGGACTTTTTCATCTCTGATTTTATATACTAGTAATATTTGCAAGTCAAGTTGTATATAGTATGCAGGTGGAATCCTAGTTTTACAGTGTCTAGCTCTATCTAATAAATTTATTCCTGTTTTCCATGAGATAGTCTTGGTTGATGTGCAAATGGTGAACTGTTTAAAAGAAAATTCCTGTATAATAGAGTTTTTCTCAAGCCACTTTCCTTTCATAAGTCTTCTTGCTATAGTATTTATATTTGGAATTTTAATTTGATACAGTTTTTATGTATAGAAATTGTATTTGACTACCTTTACAGTTTACATAATTACAAATAAAATTTATTGTGCTTTTCAAAGTACTCTGTTTTTTTTTAAGATTTTATTGGGGAATTGGGGAATGAGAACAGCCAAGCTGTTGCCCTTCAATCTTAGTTGTGGAGGGTGCAGCTAGCTCAGCTCCAAGTCCAGTCACCATCTGGTCGCCCATCGGCTGCCGCTCAGCTCAAGGTGCCAAGTTCAGTCTTAGTAGCGGATGGGCATAGCCCACCAGCTGGAACAGGCAACCTTGTTGTTAGGAGCACATGCTTCATCAGCTGAGCCATCCTGCCACCTGTTGGCAGCTCAGCGGTGGCTCAGCTCGGCCGCAGCTCACTGACCCAGGTGGGAATCTAACCAGTGACCCTGTTGCTCAGATCTTGTGATCTTAACCAACTGTGCCACTCAGCTGGTGCCCAAATACTCTGTTGATTTGGGGGATTTTATTTTCCTGAGTGAGGGAATAAAGAGTATTTTTTTTTGGAAATTGGAATACTGTTGACTGTCTTGAAGTTTTTGCCCTTAGTCCTGTCCCAATGCCTGCCTTTTAAACAACAGTAAAGAGATTATGAATGTTAGTCATTAGGTGTCTATGAAGCTAGAGTAAGAGCAAGAGTAGTTCGAAGAGAAGGGGTGTAGTGTTGAAAGAACTTTGAGTGAATGGAGAGGTCAGACTAGTCAGTGTTACATGAATTATAAGTTATGGGATCAGGGAAGGAGCTTTGAGATTTGCTGTGTGTAAACTTCGAGTTTGTACTTGTATGCTATAGCTTCAGAAAGCACAGTAATTCATGGTAATTTCCAGGTAGAACCTATTGGAAGGTATTTTTGTATAGTACATACATTTGATAACTGACATACTAAGCATTTTTAGTAATAATTGCCATGAGTTTCAAAATAATGCTTTCTTGACTTCAAAAAGGGAGCATTTCCTTCTTTGTAGGCTAGTAAATTTATTGGAGACTTCAAATGACAGGCTTGTGATTTTTTTTTTTTTAAGATTTTATTGGGGAATTGGGGGATGGGAACAGCGCTGGGGAATTGGGGGAAGGGGAACAGACAAGTTGCTGTCCTTTTGTTCTTTAGTCTAGTTGTGGAGGACGTTGCTTCACTGGCCCATGTTGGTATTATCATTGCGCTCTTCCCGGATGAGGTAGTCGGTCACCGGCCATTGTACGGCCGCTCACGGCGGCTCACGGTGGCTCACAGTGGCTCACAGCAGCTCACACTGGCTGCCGGCCACTCACGGTAGCTTACAGCAGCCCCACTGCAGCCCCACTGCAGCCTACGTCATCTCCAGTGACTCACTGCAGCCCAGCTCCAGATCGAGCTGTTGTTCCCCATCTTAGCTGTAGAGGGCGCAGTGTCACTGGCCCATGTGGGATCCGAACCAGCGGCCCTGCTGCTCAGAGCTGGCGCTTCCAAGCCAACTCTTAACCAACGAGCCACTCGGCCGGCCCTAGTGATTTTTTTGAACAGAAGAAACTAACTGAAGCAAATTGATATAGTCTTGTGAACAATTATGTATCACAGTCAGAAGCTAAGGAAAGGTATTTTGGCTCCTTTTAAAAGAGCAATGATCAATGCTCTGCTCTTTCAAGTTATTAAAAACTTGGTGGAAAACTTACATTTTAAAAAGACAGCAAATTTCTAAGATCACAGTGAATTATCAAAAAGCTTTAAACCATGAATTTTCCATGGTCTTTTTTTCCCCAAAGTTTGTTAAAACCTTTTTTGTTTTGTATTACAGTTGAAGTTATAGTAAAAGGTAAAACATGGTTTGATTGGTTTGTTTTGGTAACTAAAGAATACTCCTTTTTGATATATTTTCCTCATATTTATTGTACAATCAACATTCACTTTGTGTATGTAATTTAAAATAGGGTATCTCTTTATATCCATCCATGTCAGTATCAGAATTTAACAGTGGAGTTCTTTTTAAAATTAGCTATGGAAGTGGCATAGCAATTTTGATGCTGTTTCAAAAAGGGATTCTTGCTGTATTTTTTGGTTATATTTATGTCTCTTGTTTTTTAAGAGCTCAATAGTGGAAGTAGAGGTTGTGAGCATCTTGAAGAAGGGAGCAGAAAGAAGGATGATACATATTCTCATTCAAAAATGGAATCCACTCTGATTTCCAGGAAGAGAAAAAAAAGGCTTAGAAGTAATTTACGTGATTCTCATAATTGTACTTCTTTATATAAGTCAGCAGAACAGACAGTAAGTAGAGGTATTTATTTGTCATATGGAATAATTTGTGCCATGATAAAAATGAATTGACTGTGACCAAATGTTTTTCTAGCTTTCTGCTTTTGTCATTAGACTTCTTTCTTTTCTTTTCTTTTCTTTTTTTTTAATTCTCTTTTTTATTTTTAAGAAATAATTTAATTCTCTTTTTTTTTGTAGTAATACAGTTATTGGAACAAATTTTAAATATTACGGATGAGTAAAATGTTAAAATTTCTCCTCCCCAGATACCACTCCTTACTTAGTAGTTTGGTGTATATCATTCAGACTTGTTTTATTTTTCCCTTATGTTAACCAAATACTGTTTGTACTGTCTAACTAATTGCTTTTTCACTTGCTTGTAAAATTCTTACCAGATTTCTTTTACCAGTAGTTATTTATTTACCAACTTCTTTAAGCTTCTCCTTATCTAGAGTTTAGGGATTTTGTTGTAAGTAAAGAATTATCATATTTAATACATACATTTCCTATTTTCAAAGACTTAGTATATGATTAACAAAACTATAAGAAGACAGCTTTTGATTCCTTTGATTCACAAAGCATTTCAGGACTTTGCAGTGCCTTTGACTTACAAAAATGATTTAGATTTATACAGTAATAGAGATTTGAAGGCAATGATTGATTTCCATAATTTTTCATATTGTTATCCTCTTATGTTTAAAATTTTTTGCTCTTGTTACTAGTCACATGATGTCATGGCCTAATTACTTTTGTAAAAGAAAACAATAAAAAGTTCCTCTCATTCTAAAGTTGATTTAGATCATGGGAGACCATCTGAAGCACTTATAAATATGGGAGTCTCACCATTCCAGCCTTCTAAAAATGTTTAGGCATCAGATTGGATAGACCAAACTCTGTATCTTTATACTTGGGAGACACTGGCAAGAGTAATGTAATATAATTGTGTAGTTTTCTATCCCTGTAGTTATAGAAATGATATACTATTTTTACTTTTATATTCTTCTTTAGGAATTTAAACTTAAAAAAATTCTTCATGCAGCCAAATTTGAAAAATATTAATTTTTTGTATGCGTTCATTTATGTTCAGAAAGAACAAGAAAATGACTCAACAGTGTCCACTGAATTTGAAAAGTCAAGTGAAAACCATTATCAAGATCCAAAACTGCTTGAAGAAATTACACCTGTACCTGTAGAAACTGATTTTAATAAGTTATCCTCACTTAATAGTCAGGAGTCGGCTTTGAGCGCTGCTCTCAAAAGCGTCCCTGACTGTTCAATCACTGAAACTTTTGAGAGCTCGCTTTCCACTGATACTGCAGGGAATTCTACCCTGGTTGAAAAAGAGGAGAGTGACTTGAACACAATAGAAAAATCGGTTTTAAGTGAACACAGTGAAGGGAACCAATCACTGATATCTGCTGAACCAAGTAAGTAACAGGAGGATTGTAATGACTCTTTAATTTTATCTCATCAGTAGATTTTACAGCGGTTCTCAACCTTCCTAATGCCGCGACCCCTTAATACAGTTCCTCATGTTGTGGTGACCCCCAAACATAAAATTATTTTCGTTGCTACTCTATAACTGTAATTTTGCTATTGTTATGAATCGTAATGTAAACATCTTTTTGTTTTCCGATGGTCTTAGGCGACCCCTGTGAAAGGGTCATTCGACCCCCAAAGGGGTCGCGACCCACAGGTTGAGAACCGCTGTTTTAAAAGATTCTGTAAGGACCATTATTATTATCATTTAGTGACAATGATGAAGCTGAAGTGCAGAGAGACTAAGAGCTATTTAATTATTGTCATGAATTTTGATTTAATTAATTGTCAAGTATTTGATGTCACATTGTACATAAAAAGTTCTAAAAGATATACAATGAATAGTATCCCACGTCTTACCCTAGCCATTCATTTCTCCTTCCTGGAAGCAACTAATGTAACAGGATTTAAATTACAATTCAGAGTGATGGTACAATACATTATTAGAGCTAGAGCTTGTTTCTAAGTTCTCTTGGTCGTATTCATTTTTAAATGTCTTCATCCTTCAACCTTCAGGTAACTGGCTACACAATAGCACTGATATGGAAACATTATATATAACTAGTATAAATTAGATAATGAATGATAGGCCAGTTTCAAAACTGACTAAAGGTAGATGATTAAATTTAATGGGATTATTCAAGATATATTGCAATTTTAATGAATTAGAAAGCTCTCTGTTTGATATATGATTATTGTGACATTTAAAAAATATGTTTTTCCTTTTTAGTTGTTGTTTCCAGTGATGAAGAAGGACCAATTGAACATAAAAGTTCAGAGAGTCTTAAATTACAACCTAAGGAAGACGATGCTATCACTAATGAAAATGAGAGTACTTCTAAATCAGCATTGTCAGAATTACCACTGATTACATGCCAATCAGCACAGGTAATTTATTTCTGCCTTCTCACAGATAAATAGTGAAATATTCCCTATTGGCTAATGACTATCTCTTGTTTCATCAAGGAGAATATTGTAATAAAAATTCCAATTTTTCTTAGTTTGAATTTTAAGACTACTTTCATATTAATTTCAGAGAAACATATAATTGTCTTTATTTTGAATTAAAAGCATTATACCGTTTTTTTCTCATTATTTATATATTTCCAGTCTAAATATTCAATTGAATATTTTTTCTTTTTTTAATGGTTCACATTAGATGTTAATTACTTTATCAAAACTTTTTCTAGAATTAAACAGTTTCCAATATTTATCTGTCTGGTCTTGTAGTCTTATATCTACTTTGGAATTATTCCTTTTCCTCGTATGCTATTAAGGCAGCATGCTATAGAGGAAATAGCATGGCTTCTGGAGATCTACAGACCTGTGTTCAAATCCTGGCTCAGCCATTTGGACAAGTCACTGAACTTCCTTAAGCCTGAGTTTGTTCATATGATGAATGAAGATAATGATAGCTACCTCACAAGATTATTTCAAGTAGTAAATGAAATAACGTGAAAGATTTAGAACAGTGTCACAAACCTATCAGTTTGTTAAGTCCTTTGTTCTCCCTTCTTACAGAAAATAATAAATGGAAGCCTCTGTGGTTTAATGTCCCCCAATTGTGTTTTTGACATAGTACTTTGAAGAGTATAGCTTTAAAGTAAGGTTCAAGTAATTTATTTTCAGTATTCATTCATATTACCAGCCTCTGATTATCTTATTTTTAAGAAATAATTATTGATTATTTAGAGTAATTTTCCCAAGGTAAATCATATACTTTTTAAGAAAAAATAATCTAGGTAATTATTTCTTCACAGTAAGAACAGTGTAAAATTCTTCAATTTCATTCATTAATAATAAAGAAGTATTTGACTTCATTAATAATAATTTAAAGAAGTATTTGACTTTGAAAATTGTGGTCAGCATTTATATAATAGTGTTATATGCATTTTATAATTTATTCCTTGTTAGGCTTCATCTGAATTATGTCCATATAATCCTGTCATGGAAAACATTTCCCGTGTTACATCTAGTAATGAGACAGATCGACAACTGGATTTTATATTTACTTCTGTTTATATTGGCAAAATAAAAGGAGCTTCTAAGGGTTGTGTTACAGTAAGTACATTTAATTTTTTTTTAAGTTTTGGATCTTGGACAAGGTATTCTCAGATTGTCTTCTTTTTTTTTTTGGTGCAAATGAAAATAGAATTGAGAATAATTTTATATGGGACACTTTAAATATGTCATTATTCATACTTTGAAACACGTCTTTAATTGGGGAAGGGATTTCTAAAATCATATTTGATCTGACTATAATGAAAATCATGTATGAAAAAAATTATACGTAGTATGCATTGACATTCTTTGGGCTCTAAAACTAATTTGGTGGTAAAGTATATTTTTACTCAGGGTGTAGTTGGGAGCACAAATAAGAAATCTCATTTTGCTGGTTTAAATTGTTATAAACTGAGTTCTCCAAATTTCTAAACTTGTTATTTAAGGATCTCCAGGAATAGTTCCTGTTCATATTTTTCCACTTTTTTTTCATTATTCCTCCTCATATATTGTATATGAAAGCCAGACCGGATTTTATTCAATTCTCTATATTTTTTCAGCATTTCTGCCTGCTGAAATCCTAATCATCTTTTAAGACTTACCTGAAATACTTCCTCTTTCAGGAAATCTTTTCTGATTTCTCCTTCCTAGCCAGAATTAACTTCTTTCTTTACTGTGTACTGCTGTAAGATTTATTCTATGTGTTTATAGTTCTTTATATTTTTGCCTGAGACTTTCCATTATTAGCCTTTAAGTATCTTCTGATGAAGAGCCATGCTTTTATTCCCTTTTATCCTTCCATAAATGGCTCAAACCTAAGTAGGCCCTATAAATTTCAGTGAAATTGAATTGATTACATCAGATTATAACTCTAGGAATTAGAACTCTATAATTTCTAGAAATTTTCCTAGAAATTTTATTAATATTTCGCTGTGTTAGGAATAGGGCAAGGAGTATAAAAATGGTAAGACATGGTCTCTGCTTTCAAGGAACTGGTAGTATAATGGAAGAGACAAACATATAAGTAGATATTTACTTCACATTATGGTAAAATGTTCAATGGAAATATGTACATGAAGGGTGCATATAGGAATGACTACCTATCTCTGTCTGGAAGAATCAGGCAAGACTTCACAGAGAAGACAGTATATGATTTAAAACATAAAGTAGATATTTACTCGGCGACCATTGCAGGGGGAAGACCTGATCCCAAAAAAGTAAACATGTACAAATCCAACAAATTCTGGGAACTACATTAATGGTAGCTTGTGATATAGTTAAAATTACTTTGATTAAAAGCACAAGAGCCATTCAGTGTAAAATTAATATTCTGTGGTCATTAGTTTTCAGATAATGAGTTTGGCGTGCTTGAGGTGATTTTACATTTTTTTTAAAGGAATTTTGTTCACTTTTCACAATTTCCCTTCCTGTTTTGCTTTTTTTATTTTAATTTCAGGTTTAACCATTTTTTTGCTGAATTATTTCTAATGGCAAAAAATGGGGGTAATTTAAATATATGACAATAATTGATTAGCTGGGGAGGAAAATCCAAAGTAATTATTCAACAATGTGTTTTTCATTAGTTAATGTATTACTTATGTTATTACACAGTTAGGTGGGCTTATTATTGGAAAACACCCAAAAAACTAGAAATGAGTAAAGGAATAATTAAAAGAACACCTATAATCTTGCTATCCAGAGACAACTGCCAATAGCTCTACAGTATATATCATTCTATATTCTTTATACTATATATATATTTAAAACAAAAGGGTATGATATACTGTTTTGATACACTGTGATTATATTAAATTAATTTAATTAATGTACTTGTTTTGGCATACTTGGGTTCTTCTTAATTCCAGACTGTTGGACATTTCAGCTCTCCCAGTATTTTGCTATTACAAATAGTAGGGTTTGCAAATATTCAATAAATGTGATAAAATAGGTCTTAAAAATTTGTCTCATGTTTGTTGGAACACTTATAATTAAAGTAAAAAGCTTAAATGTCTAATTATAAGAAAGTAGTCAATCAGAGTAAATATATGCAGGTAAAATATATGCATGTGAGGAATTCTGCAAAAATTAAAGTAGTTATATTTTGATGGAGAGCATAAGCAATTTTAAAAATTACAAATAATTAAAAATAAAAGTCTTAAGACTTTCAAATTTTTCAAAAGACTTTTAATGTATGTTCTTTTTCAGACAAAGTTCATGATGCTCTGTAATTTAGAAATTAAAGAACGTTTTTTTGGGGGGTAAATATATTAGAGAATTAAATTCAGTCATTTTCCTAATGTATAATGAGTGTCTGTTATGTACTGCTGTAGACCCTGGAGATATTGTTCTCATTCTCATGATAATTACAATTTAGCTGAGCTAGAAAAATACCTTTAGTGGTAAACTATTATATAAGTCAGAGCCATTTTCTTATAGTTGGATATTTATTATTATTATTTTTTTAGTGTAAAGAATGCTGCAGTATATGTGAACATTTCATTTTTATATCTCAACTTTGTTGATAGTAGGAAAATGTTTGAGTACATAGTATGTTCAGAGAAATCTACTGGCTATTGTTAGAAGTTATAAAATAGTTCTTATGTTCAGCTTTATTGTTGAGTTTAAATAGATGCGACATGATTTCAGAGAATTGGGTTTACCTTATTCCACAGAAACATTTTTCTCCTTTTCTTAACTGGGGATTAAATTTTTGCTGGGAATAGGGCTTTGCCTTTGGGAGAGGTTACATGTTGGTTTAGGCATCATACAAAGGTATAAATGAGTATTAGATCCTTACCAAGTTGAAAGGTGATAAGACAGAAATACTTACAGTGGGCGAATGAGAGAATAAAGAAAAAATAGAGGGCAAAGATATATAGATGCACTACTTCTAGTTTGTAATTTCATAGTAATGAGTATAAAATTTCAACAGCAAACACCCCTACATTCATTTTTTATAGCTAGTTATTTTTATTTGCTAAGATATATTTTATGACATTAAAGACCCAGTGGAATATGTTAGAATTTGGTACGGGAAAATACCACGTACACATGTATACACATAAACATATATAGTAGTTGTGTGAAAGTGACAGAATAATAAGGTGAATTTGACTAAATTAAACTAGATTACATAATCAGATGTTAATGTCTAATGATAATAGTTCCCCTTGATTAAATGTCTTATCGAAAGCTGAGAGAAGTTCAGTAAGTTGCCTAAGTTTATCTACTTGCTATTCAATATTTGTGTAAGTGGTAGAGATAATATAGGCAGGATTTGAACTCGAAGCTCCGCTTTTGACTCGTATGCCATTTTGCTTGAATTTTGCTTTAGTGGCTAACTTACTCTATGAAATATAAATTTTATATTTGTGAAACTATAATATGACATAATTTTTAAATGGGCAAAAGAAATGGAGTCACAGTGAACCTATGGTTTCATTGAACCTTGTTTATCTGGAACTCTGTTGGTAGTTGATTTAGGTACCCATGTACTAAAACCATATTTGATTTTGTTTTTTGTTTGTGCTCATAGACTGTACCCCTGATTTGGTCAACAATTTCATAAATGTATTGATCAAAAGAGAAATCTAACCAAAGAATAAATAAATAAGCATGAATTAATTTGGTATTAATAGAAAAACAAATGTCAAAGCACACACCTATTTTAGATGGTACATGTAAGATTTAGGTGCTCCTAAATTTATTATAAAAGCAGCACTTAAGGGGTTCAGATATATACAAGAGGGACCTAGGGAAAATTAGTGCCCTGGCAGACAAGAACCTTGCTCACTCCTCAGTCAGAAGGGCATTTGTAACATGGAACAAAGAAAGATGAATGCTGGGAATGTCAACAAAGCCAAGAATCAAACTCTGTTTTGTAGTTTATTTACCAAAGTCAGTGACATCTTGTGAGGCCTTTTGGGAGTTTCTTCTGGACTTCGTCTTATTTCTTCTTCAAAAATTAAAAAAACTTGAAATTCATGAGCTTGTAGAGAGGGATTTATTTCAAGAAACATTTTTGAAAAATAAGTAAAGTCTGACTTGTTTTTATAAATGAGCATATTGAGAATTAAATTATTTGTACAGGGTTGTTAAACTTCTATAAAACCGAGTCTTTATAGTGAAACATATTCTTAGTTTATTGATAAATAGGCATGAACACTTCTAGTGTAGACTTTGAGTATGTACTTGTGGTTTGATTAAAAAATTTTTTGAAAATTTTAAATAACACATTTTGAGTGGTAACTCATTTTTTGCTTTTGTAATTTTCCTTTAGTTCACGCCAAAGTATGTTAAGATCCCATTTCAAGGTAAGCTATCATTGTCTTATGACTTCTTTCCGCTGTAATTTGTAAATAGATGCAAAGAGAAAGTGTTAGACCAAGAGACATAGATGAAACGAAAAATGTTTAAAAACAGAAGCCAGTAAAAAAAAGAAGAATAGAAGGGAAGGGAAAGAGGGAAAGATAAAGGGATGAAGGAAGAGAGGGAGGAAAGATTGAGGTAAGGAAGGAAAGAAGGAAGAAGAAAGGAAGGCAGACAGCATGCAGGATATATAGGCAGGGTAAGAATACAGAAAGAAAGAAAAAAGGATGGAATGAAGTGGAGTGAGAAAAGATATAGAAAAAGGCTATAAAAAAGGAAGACAAAAGGAAAGGGACAAGATAAAAAGGGAGGCAGTATGAGGAAAGAAAGAAGTTTAAAGTGATGAGTCTGTAGGAAAGATTAAAATACAAAAGAATTGAAAGAAATATGAGAGAAGAGAGACAAGGGTTTGAAAAGAAGGAGCTAATAAAATTTAGCACAATTGTGGGTAGTGCGGCAAGAAATCTGTAAAGAAGTCAGTTAAAATACAATGAAAAATAAAATGGATGGATGACAGGTAGATAGTAAGGTAGGTAGGTAGGTATATAAAAGATAAATGGTTAGAGCCATAGATAGGTGATTGATTGATAGACAGTCTGTTACAGGAGCCAGTAAATAGACAGTAAAAGAAAGAGGGGCGATAAGATAGGATAGGACAGGAAAGTAAGAGGGGAAGGCAGGCTGGCAGGCATGTAAACAGGCACAGAGGATACATAGTAAGACATACAGAAACGGAACAAGAAAAAGACATTGGAGAACTGGAAAAAGGGAAGGAAAGAATGAAGGAAAGCAGGAAATATGAAAGAAATAAAGAGATGTTTAAAATGGATTAATTTATAAGAAAAAGTGAAAATAAAAGAATGGCTGGCATGAGAACATTAAGGTAGCTAGTTACTAATATTTGAATGCTATTGTAAAATGCTTTTCAAACTTTAATGTTCATATGAATCAAACCTGGGGTTTTTGTTAAACTGAAGATCTGATTCAGTAGATCTAGGGTGGGGCCTGGTTTTCTGCATTTCTAACAGGCTCCCAAGTGATGCCAATGTCACAGGCTGAGAACTACAATTTGAGTAGAGTAGCAGGTCCCAGGAGATAATGGGGGCAGGAGTACTAAGAGATTTGTTTCAAATTGGTACCCATCTTAGGTTTATACTTAGCTGATATTTATATTCCTAGTTCAGCTGTTTGTTTTCTTCAGGTTGTACCAGATGACCCTCAGGACTTCTTTATACCATTGTTATGTTTCTTTGAATTAAAAAAAACAAAAACAAAAACAAGGTCCTCAGGGGAGATTTTTTAGCTCTCCATGAGGGAGAAAAAGTGATGATTCAGAGTGATTACCTAGAAGTTTTGAGAAGTAAAACCTGGAAGAATTTTTTAAAAAATGTCATCTTAAGACCATTCAGAAGCTCATATTATTCTTGACAATCTTTTGATAGTGGCTAGTCTGTGTAGTTGAATGCAAATGTTTGGGGAGAAGAAAAATAGGCATAAATTGGCTTATGATAGTATTTGGAGTCTTGATTGATAGCATTGACCAAGATAGAAATACATAATTTTTTAGGTTATACTATGCTTAGTTTTCTGCACTGACAAGATGGTTCCCCCCCCCCCCCCCGTTTTTGCTAGTGGTACTGGAACTTATTGTAAGAAATCTCCCTGGATAAGGTTTTTATGCTATGGAAATTTAATTTCATATTTTCCTTTCCTGGGTATAACTGAAAACTTATATGAGAGACTAAATTGCTACATTTAATTATTATTTAATAATTATTTGACCCTTTCTAATTGTAATATGATCTTTTTTACTCTAATAATATTGTTTGGGGTATTTCAGCTAAGTTTAGTGAAGTGCACTGGGAATACTATTGGGTTGTCGGAAAAGTCATGACATATTTTTTCTGTTTTTTTTGTTGCAAAAATGCGTCATGACTTTTCTGACAACCCAATATTTTTGGAAAACTTGACATATAATTCTGTTTTTTTTTAAAGATTTTATTGGGGAATTGGGGGAGGGGAACAGACAAGCTGCTGTCCTTTTGTTCTTCAGTCTAGTTGTGGAGGACGTTGCTTCACTGGCCCAAGTTGGCACCATCAATGTGCTCTTCCCTGCGAGGCAGATCAGTTGCTAGCTTCTGGACGGCCGCTCACAGCGGTTGCTGGCCACTCACACTGGCTGTTGGCTACACACGGTAGCCCATGGCAACCCATCTGCCATTGCCGGCGACTCACGGCAGCCCAGCTCCAGGTTGAGCTGTTGTTCAGCATCTTAGCTGTAGAGGGCTGTATCATTGGCCCTCATATTTGGGATCCGAACCGGGGCCCTCTGGCGTCCCAATGCGCCTGCTCTTAACCAATGCGCCACTCGGCCGGCCCCCAAGCCAACTCTTAATCAATGAGCCACTCAGCCGGCTCGACATATAATTCTTTTTGAAAAATATAGTATAATAGAGTTATATAATGTAGAAGTGTTATTTTCCTAAATAGATTAATTTATTAATTTGTTATATTTTATTTATTTTAGTGTCCCTGAATGAGGTTTCATTGCTAGTGGATACCACATATTTAAAGAGGTTTGGGTTATGGAAAAGTAAGGATGATGATCACAGTAAAAGGAGCCATGCTATCCTCTTCCTCTGGGTCTCTTCACATTATCTTCAGGAGATTCAGACCCAATTAGAAAACTCTGTATTAAGCCAGCAATGTGAGTATAAAATGATTTCTAAATTTCAGTATAACCTGAGAAGTCGTATAAATAAAGTAGTTTTCTTCTAAAATAATAGAATGTAATAATTTAATAGAGTATAGTTTCATTGAATTGAAATTGTTTATTGAATTAAAACATTTTATTCCTTACTATTATGTAAGATAAGTTATTTATTCATGTAATTTCTTTACTAATATTTTACCAAATGCAATTATCTTCTAAAATAAAAGGAACACCATATCTTTTAGTCAGTTGCCATCCTTGGCTACTTTTCTTATGAATTTCTTGCTCTTATTTCATAATGAACTGTGACTGAGATAATCAGTGGCAAAGCTAAATAAAATACAGAAGTCTTTACTTACAACGTTTTCTTTAGTTTCTAAAAGATGAACTCAGTTTACTTATATATCCTTTCTCTAAGACTGGGTTGATTACTTTTCTGTATGCTCCCATAACACTTACCTGTATATATGCATCTTGAGATATTTCCCAGCTTTGTTTAGTTTCCAACTTTACAGGAGCCTGGTTTAGAATTGGGTAAATCAAATTAGTAAAGTTCTTTCTTATCTCTTTGATCTCTCTACCTTCTCCCCCTTCCCCTTACCCCATACTTCTGTGCACATTAAAAGATGTTAACTAGTGAACTAAATTTTATGTCTTTAAAATTAGTTATTTTGCTGTCTTCACTACTTCCAAATTAATTGGGAAAATTCATGGTTACATAGCAGAGAAGTTGGAAAACTATAATAAGCCATTTATAATCAGTATTGGGGGAGAGGATGTCATTTGAGACCACTGTTGAAATGATTGATGAAAGTAAATGATATAATGGAAGGAATACTTTTTAATTAATAGATTGGATGTATGGAGAGGCTCGAGAAAAATAATTAAGTGCTTAGTTATTGTTCATTCACTTATTCATACATTCATTAACAAATGTTTACTAGTACCTAATAAATGCTGGGTCCTCGAAATACAGAGTTCAGTACCATTGTGGAGTTTTCATTCTAATGCAGTAGGAGTCTAAAAATTGTGAATTTTGGTTCTGAGTTACTAATGGCCTATTTTGGGATTTAAATTTACCTGTGTTATTAACTAACATAGAAAATACTTTGTTGGGTTATATACCAACCTTACTGTTATTACAAATCAAATTATTTTAATTATAATACCCTTGAAAAATAATATTATTGATACATTTTTTTTTTAATTAGCAAAATCCAGTGAATTCATTTTCCTTGAGCTACACAATCCTGTTTCACAAACGGAAGAAATGAAATTGAAACACATCATGACAGAAATAAGTAAAACCGATGAAGAATCAGAGCTTTCTTATCCATTGTCTTGGGTTCAGGCACTTCCTCTATTTCAGGACCTCTCTTCAAAAGAAAGTTCTTTTATTCAGTACTATTGTGCTTCAACTTGTTCTTTCCCTGCTGCTGCTGCTGAAGAAATGAAGATGAAATCAGTATCTCAGGTTAGCATATGATAAATATAATTGGTGAGGAGGAGGGAGGAGTTTTGGTAAAAATTCTTTCATTGAAATTAGGTTGATTTCGAAATGCTATGTTTTGTCAAAAGGGCACAGGAGCCAACCTGAAAGAATTCCCAATGCCAAAGTTAGAACAGTTTGATCAGCAAAATCAATAATAATAGCATGTGATTATTACCAAAGAATAAAATAAATACCCACAAATCTATATTGATACAAATAAATAACTGAATTAATGAACGAATAAATAAAAAATGGTGAATAAGGGGCAATTCTTTTTTAGAAAAGTGTTCCAATTAATAAATATAAAAGGAGAAATATAAAACCACCACTAGAAAAAACATAGTTATGATTGTTGCAGGCATGGTCCACCAAGAGATGCTAAATTTAATGGTTAAAAACTAAAGGAGAAACAGGATGTATTCATAATCCAAATTCTTTCCCCCCAAATATTTACTAATTACAAAAAGTAGCAGCTTTACAGTGGAGAATCCTGACAGACATTACCTTAACCCAAGTGATCAGAGAGAACGTTACCAGTGATAAGACATGTTGGCATAATATACTTGTCACATCATGCACTGAGAAGGGTACATTACTTCTGTGGTATATTCTTCCCATAGTGCATAACCTGAGTCTAATCATGAGAAAAATCAGACAAACCTGGTTACAAAATAACTGACTAATGCTCTTTAAAAATATCAAGATTATGAAAGACAAGGAAAGACAGAGGAATTGATTATAGGATCCTGAAACAGAAAAAAAAATTAGTGGAAAAACTAATGAAACCAGAATAAAATGTGTAGTTTAGTTTATAATATTATACCAAGGTTAATTTCTTATGTTTGATAATTGTACTATGGTTGTATAAGTTGTTAATATTGTTACCGAACTCAGGTTCGGCTGCTTGCTGCCAATGATCAAGAGACAAGGTTGGTGGAAAGAAAAGTAGGTTTATTCACAATGCTAGCTAGCATTCTGGGAAGGTGGCGGATTGCTGTCTCAAAGACCACCTTCCTCCTTCTGAGAATGACCGGAAGGTTTTATAGGCATATAGGAAGAAGCAGAACAACAGAAAGGAGGAGTTAGTCATGTCATTCCTGGGTGCTGATGACAGTGGGAGTTAGGCGATTGCTGGGCGCTGACTAAAAATAAATAAAATGCTTCCCAGAGTCTGGTTTGTTCTGAGATAAGGTTATTTCATACCCATTATAGGAGTGAATCTCAGCCTGGTTTGGTTGCTGGCGAAGCAGAGGTCTAAGGGCTGAAACAATTTTTTTCAAGTCAGTGTTCTAGAGGTTAAACAGATTAATGAGATATGCATACAGCCTTGAGAAAACAGGGTCATTAAATTCAGTAGGAGGAGAGGGAAGCAAAGAAAATGAGAAATAATTTTCCAGTAAATTACATTGTTAAATACAACTAAACTAGAGTGTTAAATTTTGAAAATAGAAAATACAGTGTCACCCTTACAATATTATGGGAATCTGGAAGAGGCTTGTTTTTTTTCAACTTTTCTATAAGTCTAAAATTATCTTGAAACAAAAGTTTAAAAATGCTGGGGTTTTTTTAGATAGGAGGTTGGTAATATAACATGTGGCTTGTGTATCTTTGTGAAATACCTCTAGAAAGAAAAGTGTTTATTAAGTTTGTGATGGTACACGCGCACACACACACAATCTGTTATTTAAAAGGCCTGTAGAAAGCCAAATTACTGGAAGACAAAGCGTGAGACTTGACCACTATCTTTGTTTATGTATATGTTATAAATATTTTGCATGGCACTTTTATTGTATATGCAAATTTATATCCTACTTTTCCATTTAATAATAGAATACCAATTTATATTATTATAAACTCTTTCAGATTTTTAAATTTTTTTTTCTACAATTTATCACCTCTTTTGATCTGTAAGTAACACTGTAAGTGAAACTTTGACCATTGTATGTATAATATCTTTTGATCAAAAGTATTATTTTGATGTTTATATCTTTGTAGAAATTCTAAAAATGTAGAAATAACTTGATCTGGATTTCCTTTAGTCACACTTTCTCTTACAAGTCTAGGTTTTGACTTTGTCCTTTTGAGAGTTAATATGTATTTATGTATCTATAAGGAGATCTTTTTCTTTGCCATTTTCTTTCAGCCCTCGAATACAGATACCGCCAAGCCTACTTACACCTTCCTGCATAAGCAAAGTAGTGGCTGCTACTCACTTTCTATTACATCTAATCCAGATGAAGAATGGCGGGAAGTCAGGCACACTGGACCTGTTCAGAAGTATGTACTGTGTCATATCCTATTCGTAAGGTGGGAACATTAGTAGATTTCATTCATGTTGCTGATTTTTTGTAGTTTACCTTTTTAAATGTTTTGAGGTTTACTTTCATGCTGACAGTTAATAATAGAAAAAATGTTTTCTTAATTTATGAGAAAGTTAAAAAAAATTTTATGAAGAAAACAATTGGTGCCCCATTATATTTAGTTTCATGTCATAAAACAAATGGCAGCCCAAAGTGTCAAATTCGGTAAGATTAAAGCATTTATTGAAAAAATTTGAATACCAATGTATGATTTTTAAGATTATATATTCCATATCTAAATATATGATAGGACAGTGAAATTGTTTACTACAGTATCCCTCAATTTAAAGTTCTTTGGAGTTTATCAGAACTTTCAGAAGTTCCTTCTTTGTTTATAATTCATCTTTTATGTGTCTTCTCATGGTTGGAAGGCAGAATAGGAAGTCTGTGCATTTTGATCTTATTCCTCTATGTGATTTCTTTTGTGTATTTTAGGGGAAAAAATGAAAGCACGGATAGGAAAATTGCCAATAAAATAAAAACTATCATATTAGCATTTAAATTTTTCACGTATTCTTGTTTGATTAGGTGCCATGATTATCAAGATTAAATCAATTGCAGGTGACTTTTATCTTCTTGAATCTTTCTGGTTCAAGAAATACTTATTATACCTTTATTATTGACTACATTTGTGCATTATCATCCTGTCTATTCCAAGCTTATAGCCAGGAATTTACAGCTGGTCTTATTTTTGAACTTTAGAGAGAGTGCTAGAAGAAAGATGCCTAATTAGTTGTCATCTGTCTTCTACTTCCTTTTGGTTGTGTTCTTATTATTCATTTTCTTTATGTTCTCTTAAGTTTTACATCTTTGTAAGCACTTAATTATGGGAAAGTTGCCTCCTAAGCCTCCCATGTTATTTCTTTATTGCCCAGATGCTGGTTTAAACTTGCCACCAATAGAGCATAGTTTTTGGCTGATGGTTCTTCTGAATAGAAAGGAACTAGTCTTGGGGATTCTCTTAGAATTGGAAAATAGAGCATAGGAAAATCTTCTATGGTTATTACATCAGCTTGTTGAAAGGCAAAAATTGTGCAGAAGACGGACATCCTCAATGGCATTGTAACTGCTGTGAGATGTAACCTATTGACTAGACAAGTATTGAGACTAGCCCACACAGGAAGAATTGGAAATGAAAAAATACTCAATGAAAGTACTATTAGTAGCTTGTGAAAGTAAAGGAAGGAAAATATAATTCCTTGTATACTGCCAGATATTTTTTACTCTACATATTTTAGTTATTGTATACTATTGCCCTGTTATTATTCCATATAACAAATCTCTTTGATACTAGAATTTTCAATACCAATATATTTTAACTTTATTTTTACTTTTTTAAGGTTGATTGTATATCCTCCACCACCTACTAAAGGGGGATTAGGAGTAACTAATGAAGATCTGGAGTGCTTAGAAGAAGGGGAGTTTCTTAATGATGTAATTATTGATTTCTACCTTAAGTAAGTATAATGATAAATGATCTCATTTGTCAGGTTTTGATGTGAATCTTCAAGTAACTGTTTTTATCTCTGAAGTGTTTATATTAAAGTAACCTGCCAAGATTTCAGATTTGAAAAATTTTTTGCCTACCAAGATTTTCTAGAATTGACTAATTCAGTTTCATTATGTTATTTCCTGTAGATACTATATACGTTCACAAGAGATCCTTTTTTTGTTTCACTTGTTTTTGATTTATTCTTTTTTGACTATTGTATTATTGTGGTGAAGGAAGTATTAACATAATTACAGATCACTGGGAACTGAAAAGAAGCAATTCTGTGTAGTTTCCTTTGTATTTTTAAGCACTGTAAGAGTTAACAGTCATTTAAAAAATCCACATCACTATTCCATTAAAAATAATTAAAAAATTTTTGTATAGGCAAGCTGAAAAAATAGATAGGAAAGTTTTTTTTTTTTTAAAGATTTTTATTTGGGAATTGGGGGATGGGAACAGTGCTGGGGAATTGGGGGCAGGGGAACAGACAAGCTGCTGTCCTTTTGTTCTTAAGTCTAGTTGTGGAGGACGTTGCTTCACTGGCTCAAGTTGGCACCATCATTGTACTCTTCCTGGGAGAGGCAGATCAGTCGCCGGGTTCTGGATGGCCGCTCACGGGGGCTGCTGGCCGCTCACGCTGGCTGCTGACTACATACTGTAGCCCATGGCAACCCACTTCAGCAGAGGCTGCAGCCTAAGCTGTCGCTGGCGACTCACAGCAGCCCAGCTCTAGGCTGAGCTGTTGTTCAGCATCTTAGCTGTAGAGGGCAGTGTCACTGGCCCTCATGTGTGGGATCTGAACCGGGGCCCTCTGGCGTCCCAAGCCAGCTCTTAACCAACATGCCACTTGGCCGGCCCTAGATAGGAAAGTTTTATGCAAAGGTAATTTATTTCTAGCCTTCATTTTTTACTGTGTCCCTTGACCTACATTTCCAACACTTCTTCAAGATGTCTCTAATTATTTCACTGACCCCTCCCAAACTAAATTTATTTTCATCTTACCGAAGACCCTATTGTTTTACCGATAATACTATACTTATTCCAGTTACTCAGGCCCCATATCTCACACTACCATTTACTCTTTCTCCCAGACATTGTCGATTTAATCTCTGCAAGTTTGATTTGGGTCTTTTTAATATCTTCCTTGTCTCTTTAACATTTTAACACAGGGAATATAGTTGTAATAACTGTTTTAATGTCCTTTCCCACTTTTTCTAACATCTGTGTCAGTTCTGGGTTGATTTCAATTGACTGATTTTTCTCTTCATTATGAGTCTTTTTTTTTTTTTTCCTTGCTTCTTTGCATGTCTGGTAATTTTTTATTGGATGCTGGGTATTTCTGTATTCCTGTAAATATTCTTGAATTTTGTTCTGGAACATAGATTATTTGGAGACAGTTTGATGCTTTCAAGGATCATGCCTTATAAGATTTGTTAGGCGAGGCCAACAAATTAATCTGCATTACTGAGGAAAGACCCTTCTGAGTATTCTACCCAGTACCTCATGAATCATGAAGTTTTCCAGCCTGGCTGGAAGGAAAAGGCATTTTTCCCATGGCCTGCATGAATGCTGGGTACTCTTCTATCTAATCTTTTCAGGTAGTTCTTGTCCTGGCCTTGGGTATTTTCCTTACAAGCATGCAATGATTAATACTTTGATAATTACTTGAGGACTCTGCAGGTGTTTGGCATTCTGTCTATACACATACAGGTCTTTTCTTTCCAGTATTCTGGTCTGCAAACTGCTGCCTTGGTGTCTCCTTACTCTCATCATCTCTTCAACTCAGGGAGTCTGCCAGGCTCCACCTGGGTTACTCCTTGTGCTGCAGGCTGGAAACTATCAAGGCAGTGAGCTGGGGCATTAGTGGAGCTCACCTTTCTTGTTTCCCATTTTTCAAGGATCACTGTTCTTTGTTGCCTGATGTCCAGGGTTTTGAAAACTATTGTTTCATATATTTTTTCCCAATTTTTTGCTTGTTTCAAGCAGAAGGGTAAATCTGATTCCTATTATTCCATCTATGCTGGGAATGAGTCTCCATCATCATGGACTCTTCACCCTCCCTTCCCTCTCTACATATTCAGTTGCCAATTTTAGTAGATTCTGCCTCTCACATTCTCTTGACAATCTTTCTAGTACTCCTTATCTTACCTAAATTGGTATTCTGTCTTTTCAAGTAGTCTCCTTGTATCCTTTGTCTCTTTGTGGGCCTCTTTGTGTTCATGTTGTTTGGGACTCTGTGCTTCCTGGGCTTGTATGTGTATTTCCTTTGCCAGGTTAGGGACGTTTTCAGTCATTATTTCTTCAAATAGGTTTTCAATTTCTTGCTCTCTCTCTTCTCCTTCTGGTACCCCTATGATGTGAATGTTGGTACACTTGATGTTGTCCCAGAGGCCCCTTAAACTGTCCTCATGTTTTTTGGATTCTTTTTTCTTTTTGCTGTTCTGTTTGGGTGTTTTCTTTTACCTTATCTTCTAAATCACCGATTCAATCCTCTGCGTCATCTAATCTACTGTCGATTCCCTCTAATGTATTTTTCATTTCAGTTATTGTATTCTTTATTTCTGACTGGCTGGTTTTTATGTTTTTTTATCTCCATTTTTATGTTTCCTATCTCTTTGTTGAAGTTCTCCCTGAGATCATTGAACATCTTTATAAGCAATGTTTTGAACTCTGCATCTAGTAGATTGCTTGTCTCCATTTTGTTTAGTTCTTTTTCTGAAGATTTGTTCTGTCCTTTTATTTGGGACATGTTTCTTTGTCTTCCCGTTTTGTCTGCCTCCCTGTGTTTGTTTCTATGTATTAGGTAGGGCTTCTATGTCACCCGGTCTTAGTAGAGTGGCCTTATATAGTAGCCTTATGTAGTAGGTGTGCTGCGGGTCTCAGAGGCGCAATCTTCCTGGTCACCTGAGATGGTGCTCCAGGTGTGTTTCTTGTGTGGGTTTTGTAGTTTTTGCCTTTGTTGCTGTTTGTATGTCAATGGGAGGGATTAATCCTTGGGCTGATTGTTTGTGAGGACTGGCTGTGACTACAGTGGAGGAACTGTTGTACAGGGACTGACCCTACAGAGCAGGATTCGCTTTATCAGGGCTCTGGTGCCTGCCCAGTCTGTCCTTTGGGTGTGTCTTCCCTGGAAGCCGCCAGGTGTTACTCTGGCTGGGTCCAAAATTGGCGACCAGGTGTGCCTGTTCTGTGGCTTCCTAGGAGCACCCCCACTATAAGCCAGGTTCAGCGTCAGCTTATGCTCTACCCAGGGCCACCTGGCATGAGCCACAAAGCAGTCTGCAGATAGACACCACCTGCACTGTATTTGGAGGTGCCTCAAGAGGCCAAGCTGTGAAAACCTGTGTGTGTGTGTGAGGGGGGAATGGGGGTGGGGTGTAGGGGGGTGGGAGGCTCCACAACAGAGTTATCCCTCCCAATTTCTAATGGTTACATGTGGGTGTGGGACCAGCCCGTTCCATGTCTCCACTCCTCCTACCAGTCTAGGTGGCTTCTTCGACATGTTCTTAGTTGTAGGGCTTTGGTTCAGCTAGACTTCAGGTATTCTGTAGTTTAGTTGTAATTTTGATATCCTCATGAGAAGATAATCAGTGTTTATCTACTCTGCCTTCTTGACCGATTCTCAGTGCCCTGTTTTCTTGCTTCCTGGAATACTCACCTCTTTACCTCAACCTGTCGAAATTTTATTCCTCTTTCAAGGTTCCTTCATGAAACTTTTCCTGATCTTCTAAACAGATATTATTAACTCCCAGGATACTTCATTTGCATCTCTTTTATGATACTTATCATATTTTGCCTTATTTTAACATGTTAAGTGCCAAGCCTGTTTTGTCTTCCTTCCCGTTTAGCCCACAATATCCAATTTCACCGATATGCTTTCTCTTCAGTCAGTTGTCTGTGGTTCGTGTTCCAGTGCAGTTTAAAAAATTTTTCTTTACCTGTAACAGTGACAATGTCAGTAGAAGAAACGTGTGAAAGCGATTCAAGTGAAATTAGTTTTTCTAATAGAAGAATATAATTTTTTAAATTGTATATCTTCAGTCACCAGTGACTGATGTGGTCCGAATGGCAAGTATAGTGTCAGTCACCGGTGACTGACATGGTGCTTAATGTGTTAAAGTTATTTGGTGATTTCATGATCATTCTTCTTTTAAAGGTTAACTATCTTGCATCTTACTTATTTTTGTATCCCTACAATAGTATCAAATTTATATTTTGTGAGATGAATTGGATCACCTGTGGTATTTAATATATTTTATTGGAATTAACTAAAATTTTATTTCATATTTCTATTTTCCTATATTTCCTTTTCACAAAACTGTCTATATCTATCCGTTCCTTTCAGAGCGGATTCTCACTTTATTTTTTAAACTATTTAGTATTTGTTTTTTAAATTGATGAGTAACTTCCAAGTAGCAAAGTGCATAAATCTTAAGTATACAGCTAATGAATGTTCATATGTATCTATCCATGTAATCATCATTCAGATCAAGATAAAGAACACTTCTATCACCCCAGAAGCATTCTTCATGTCTCCTTCCATGAAGTGTATCCGCCCCATAACTATATTAAAAAAACTTTAAGTTGTGTTTGTATTTTATGCTTTTTTTAAAGCAATTACAAGGTCATTTTTGAACCTGCATAAACATTAATAATAGCAGAGTCATCTAATTATGAATGGGCTTAATCATTAAATGATTGAATTAAAAGCTTATATTGAAGAATTGTTTTAGTATAGAAGTGGACTAAGAATTTAGAGATTAATCACGTCTCAGAGTTATTAAAATTTTTCTAGATTTATTTAGAAGTGTCAGTTTCAGTTTTATATTTGATCAGTGATTATTTGGTTAATATTTTCTTCTACTCTCACTACTCCAGATTGTAGCTCTATTGGAGCAAGTACTTTTTGTTCTCTTTTTTTATGTCTCCAGTGTAAATATGGTGCTTGACACATGTTAGGAATTTGATAAATATTTGTTATGTAAATGAATGAATAAGTGGGCAATTTCTGCTTTAAACGATCTTGATGTTGGTGAGGTAATCAAAGAACAAAAAAATCTGAAATCAAAACAAATTGCAAGATTGCTTTCCATCTAATTGGATATAAAAATGAAGATATGGGATATAAAACTGAAGCAACAAATGAACAAGACAAAGAAAAATTTATAGATACAGACAACAGTTTAGTGGTTACTAGAGTGTAGTGGGGGAGCGGGGAAGGTAGAAGAAGAAAAAGGGGTCAAATATATGGTGATGGAAGGAGAACTGACTCTGGGTGGTGAACACATAATGCAATAGATAGAAGATGTATTACAGAATTGTACATTTGAAACCTATATAATTTCACTAATCAATGTCACCCCAATAAATTTAATTTAAAAAACCCAAAGATTTCCAGAACATATAAGATAATTGGGGGAAAACCAGGTAAAATCTAAATATAACTTAATTTTAATGAAAAAGAAAAAAATATGTAACTTAATTTTGTGGTGTTGCTACTTTACCAGGTATCTTATATTGGAGAAGGCATCAGATGAACTTGTTGAACGAAGTCACATTTTTAGTAGCTTTTTCTATAAATGCTTGACAAGAAAGGAAAATAATTTAACAGAAGATAATCCAAATCTTTCGTAAGTCAATCTTCCAATATACTTAAGTTTTGGGAAGCAAATATACTATTTTGGTATTCCTAAGGAAATAATCACGTATGGTATTTCCTAGATTGAACAATATTAAACACTTGTGTAGGTCCTGGGTTTGTTTGCTCTTGTAAAACATTTCTCACCCTTCCAAGTTCACAGGGAGGCCGACTATTGCAGGCTGCATGACCAATTGCATGTCGTTTGAGGGACACTAGAGGTTGGAAGGTAAGGAAGGAAGAAGCTAGGTTATTTCTTCCTTACCTCTGCCTTGGGCAGTGATTCTGACAGCAGCTGTATTTCCTCTGTGGGTCCATCTCTCACTGGACAGACCTGCTAGAGCTCTAGCTTCCATTTGGAGGTACTGCTTCTTCCCTTTGCCCTTCAGGAGGATAGTGGTTTCCTACCCTGGTGATCTCTGATTGCCTCAGAGCCCCCACCCTCCGACCCCCTTTGGCTTTACACTTTTTCTATCATCACTGTAGCCAATTCGCTGCATTACATTTTATCTATCTTAAATATATAGAGTAGTATTTGTTTTCCTGGTTGGCCCCTCATCAACATACTACTATTTAATTAAATTGATGTAACATTACACAAAATACATTATTTGCTGGCACAGTTTAGCTGAATTTCTGTCCAAGTATTATTTGATTAATGCTAAAACCTACAGAACAGAGGATAAGCACAGGCAAAAAGGAGGAAGGAGTTATTTTTATTTCTTAGATAGCAATAACTTGATAGTTGTAGCATGGAGCCATTTCACCCCTTTCCCCACCCCTAATAATTTGTGTGATAATCTATATGGTAGACCCATGATAAAATTAAGAGTTTTTATTTTTAAAATAGTTAGTGTAAACATTTACCTACCACTTTCCAATTTATAGGTACATTTTTGTACATTATTTTCTCTTATAATAGTTCTTTTAGATAATGTAGGTAATATATATTATATCCCAACTTTTCTGATGAGGAAGCAGGTCAATAAAGTATTGTATTGTTGGAGAAGGAGGATAGGAATGGGGAGTGTATTAACATTTATTATCTGCTTGGAGCTAAGGCAGTGAACATATTTTGTTTCATTCTACAATAATCTTTAAGATAAGTACCATCATCTTTATTAATTGAAGCCTAAAGAAGTCAGATAAGTTGTCCAAAGTTGGATATAGCTTTCCAAGTTCCAAGTTCAAGCCCTTTCTATTGTGTATAGTGTTGTGACTATATAATTTATGGTCTAAATGGGGACACTTTGAGAGAATAAAAGGAGGCTCTATTATTAGCTACACTGGGCAACGTGTGTACTGGAGCTGTTCTAGACAAACTGTAACGTGGGCAACTATATTTTGAGTGTCTTTATGGGTTTGGAACTTGTGCTGTTGGACAAGGCCTGCAGGATCAATTAAGGAGAAAACCACAATTTGAAAATATGTTTGATAATCAGGGTCAATGGAGAGGGATATACAGAAGGGGAAGATTTATTAAATACATTTGATATTTAACATTTCTTATGTTCTCCTGTTTTATGTATATAGATATTGATTTTGGGTACCATGCATTTAATCCTACATTTTGTTTTAAGGTTATTAGTCAATGTAGAGATTATGAATTTGGCATATCCACCTAGAAACTGAGGAAATGAAAGTAGGTAGATTCTGCTGTATTTTCAAATTTTTAAAATTTTTTGTAAAAATTAAAAAAGCTAGATATTATATGCCTGATCATGTATAAATGTACAAAATGCAAAACAAAGTTACATGAGCTGTATTTTGGAGTAAGATAGTACTCCATACAACATACAAATGTTCATACTAATGCTTGGTCTGATGTGCATGTAGTTAGTATTCACGCAAAAAAAATCCCTACAAATCAGTAAAAAAAGGACAACTCAGAAACACTGAGTGGCTAGGGTTATAAACCTTAATGGCCAATAAATTCCCTACAAAAGGGTCAAATTTACTAGTGTTAGGAAATTGCAGACTAAGTGATATACTAACTATTTATTTACTATGGTTTAGGAGATCCTGCAAGATCTGGCTTCTCTCTATCTCCCTAAACTCATCTCACAACATTCTCCCCTCACCATATACTTCAGCTCAACCTACCCCCTTTCAGTTTTCAAATATGCTAAGCTCTTCCCTATTTTCAGACTGAATTTTTTTCTCTTGGCACTGTTGGTTTCACAACACAATTTCTAATTAGTTTATTTGTTCATTTTCTGTTTCTCATTTTAAATTATAAGCCCCGTGAGGTCAGGGACTTTATCTGTCATGTTTTCTACTCTATCCCTAGTGCCTTTTGGTCAGTACTTAGAACATACTAGGAATTTGAAGTAAAAGATAATAATAATGTATATTATTAAATAGGGAGAGAACTGTTAGACATTACATTGAGGATTTTCTACACAGTTAGAGATTATATTGTGGCGCCCGTATTCTTTCCTATTCTCCTATGTCTGATATATTCCCAATCAAATAAAGTTAGCATAATCAGGAAATCTACCAACACCAGCATAACAAAACAGAAGAAAATGTGGTGTCTATCCTAAAGATTCTCAAATGGAAAACTAACAGAATATGCACTAATTGAAAGTAACTGTTTAAAATCTTGTAATGGTCGTCCTGAAATAAGAAAATTCAGTAAACATATGACTCCTGATTATTTTATGAAGTTAATCTTCCACACAGTGTCTGATTCCTGCCACATCTTTTAGCCCATTCTGGATCCCATCTTACTCCTAATGTCTCTCCCTATGAGTTTGGTTAGGTAGTCAGATGCATAGAGATGGGACAAAGATGTCTATTTCCTATATCACTTGGTATATAAATATATCCGGTCTTAATGATTTAATTCCCTGCATAAAAAGATGCCCTTCATGGGACTGATGCCTCATCCGGAAGCTATATACAACCGTCTTTATGCCACTATTAAATGCCGTCCCCTTCCTAAAATATTTTGGACATCCCTACTTGGTTTTGTGTCTTCCTTCCTTAACTTTCCTGATGATGTAAAGAAAAGAAACTATTTTTTTTGTGTGTGTGTGTGTGTGAACCAACCCTTCTATAGGTAGCTTTCCTAGGTGCTGTAACATAATTCCTTATGATGCTTATATTTTAGTTATTTGTTGTAGTTTTTTTTTTCCCCTCATTTTAAAATAAATTCCTTTAGGGCAGAGTGAGTGGTTTTCATTATTTGTTCTTAGGAGCTTAATAAATATTTGTTGAAGAAATAAAATGAAAGATGGATAAATGATGGCTAACTTAACTCCTTATCCTATAGTTTTCTTATGTATGAAATGAAAGGAGATGAGTTTCATCTTTAAAAATCTAAGAATATCTGCCCCCTTCCTCCTCTTCTATTAAGTTTTAAAACACCTCCCTTATCACAGATATAACATTTAGACAATTCTGTTAAGGTTTAATGATAATATTTTATATCATGCCCAGGTGGAACTAAGCAAAATAAATACATATATCTGTTTATATTCAGTTATGGTGCCACTTTTGGAATCTACAAAACATTTTATAAATTGTTGCCTTTAATTTTCTAGTGTGTGATGTATTGCATATCTTGAAGAGAATGGTTAAATAAACTAAACCTAGCATTGTTCAGTATATAAAAATGATTCTTGAAATTCTTATCTTAAATTTTTAATTTTTTATATATCAAATGTATTTATCTTTCATATTCCCAGAATGGCACAAAGAAGACATAAAAGAGTAAGAACATGGACTCGTCACATAAACATCTTTAATAAAGATTACATCTTTGTGCCTGTAAATGAGTCGTGAGTATTTCAGATTTTTTAAAATCAAAATTGGAGAGAGTACAGAAAAAAATTGGGGGCATTTTGGGGCGGCCAGTTATCTCAGGTGGTTAGAGCACAGGCTCATAACACCAAGGTTGCCGGTTCGACTTCCACATGGGCTGCAGAGCTGCGCCCTCCACAACTAGATTGAAGACAACTACTTGACTTGGAGCTGATGGGTCCTGGAAAAAAACACTGTTCCCCAATAAAATTTCTTTTAAAAAAAAATTGGGGCAATTTTCAGATTAATAATCAGTAAAAAGTATGGGTTCATAAATATTTAAAATTTTTTTCTAAAGAGCTAAAACAATGAGTTCTTTATTTTGGATTTTGGTTTGACAGTGGTTATGTTGTAAATATAGTGGAAAAAAAAATAAGACAAATGCCCACATGACTGAGACATTGAATTATTATTTTTTTTTTTGGACTTAAGAAAAGATTTTCTAAATAGGAGATCAAAAGATTTTAGGATGAATCTTCAAATATTTAAGAGAATAAGCTCTTTAAGTTCTAATAGAAAAATGGTGATGCTGTGTCTATCTATTTAATAATGCAGATCCTTCACAGGAAATGTTTACTATATGAAAGTAAATATGTTTAAATTACTCAGATTTTACCTTAAGTAGTCTTACTACTTATTTAGTTAGTTTTGGAATGTGTGTTCTATATCAGATATTTCAATGAACTTCTTCAAAATTGATGTAAAGTTTGTCATGCCTACTTTCTTAGCTATAGCTCTAGAACATATTCTTTTACATTGTTTAGATTTTGTGTTATTAAGGTTGTATTTCTTTTTCAATAGGTCTCACTGGTATCTTGCAGTCATTTGTTTTCCATGGTTAGAAGAAGCTGTGTATGAGCATTGCCCACAAACCATATGTCAGCAATCCCAGGCTCAGCAATCCGAACACGACAACAAGACAATAGGTGATAAACTTAATGTAGATGGTGTTTTTAATAATGATGACAACAGTGAAATGATTATAGGGAACAATATGACTTTAAAAGATAGTAACTCATTAACATTAAACTTATTAGAAGAATAAGAAGTCTGAAATTTTCACGATAGATGCCCAGCTTCATGAATAGACAAAATGTAATTCTTAAGTTATACTGTTATATCAAATTTTATCATAGTACTTTTTGTAGAATAATCTTGCTTACATGTCTAAGAATTCTTGCCATGGGTCTTCAGGCATAGCTTGAGACTCCCCATTTTTTTCTTAATATAAAGTAACACAATTCTTATTGGCACTAGTAATTTTGCTAGGTAACATTTGGTCTCTCATAACTCTTCCATGGTTTTTATCATGTTACAACCCAAATCCTAATTAAACAAGCAAATAAGCCTACTTTAAGGAAGAAAAATCAAAATTACGTTTTTTATAGCTGTAGCCTAAGTGGCAAGCAGAATTAATAATAGCCATTACCATTAATACTGACCAAAGACTAGCGTGGGAGGAAAAAAAATCTGATAAAGCAACTGATTTTTTTCAGTTTTCTCTAATCATCCTCTGCTTCAAAAGTGTACTTATGCAACACTTTGATGATTGAGGTTAGAGCCGTTACCAGGCAAATTAACGATCCTCCACATTAAAACAGCAGACATTTGATTAGTGATCCATATTTGAAGATTGTCTTTTATAGGAAACTAGCTCAGCTAACTGATATTTTGTTTTGGCTCTGGGGTTTATGTAATGTCTGATAATAGCTGACTGTTGGCAGTTTTATGTGTTGATTGAATTTTATTCATAACATTAACTATGAAAAAAAAATTAAATAGATTCCAGGTATTTTTTTCCTTTTAAATAATACTATGCATACAAATTAGAATTTAAATTTATCTGAATACTTTATATTAAACATAAAATAAAGACTCATAACTGCTTTGTTATTTCTAACTAGATAATGATCTACATACAACTTCAGCAGTATCTTTGGGTACAGTGGATTCACAAGTAAGTGTGTTATTTATAAATGTGAAGGAATGAATCTGTAAAATAGGGCATAGCTAGGTGGGCTATGATGGATATTGGTGGTCCATAATTAAATTTTGCAGCTTTATGATTCTTTGATGTATTTTGTGGGAGTAGAAAAGAGAACAAGAGAAATCACCATTCTCCGTGCATCTGTTTAGCTCACTTTAGCTCCCTTGGTTTGTTTATTTAGTAGCCATCTTTGTTGACTGCTTTTCTAATTTTGTGGGACAGATTTACTTTTATTCTTTGCATCAGCAATTTCTTGAACTTAGTGTAATTAATAAGCTAAGCAAGCCTATTTTATATTTTATTTTTTATTGTGAATTGTTGATAAAAATTATTCAAAGTAGACCCAAGGCCAATCTATACTACTCCTGAGACTAAGATAGTTTCTGTTAATTTTTCTTTATATGGTATGCATGATCTAGATTCGGTGTCTTTAATTGATTAAGGTAGCCATCTAATGAATTTTTTTCTACATACAGTTAGCATAGGCCTGTGTCTTTACTGTCACTGGTATAGGTTGGACAGAAGGAAGGAAGGAGGTTTCTTTTTCTGCTGTCACAGTGGCAGGATAGGGAAGTTCCTTCTTGCTTCTAGGTCCGGGTTTCCCAAATTGGGTTCCTTGAAACACTTGTTCTAAGATGCAGTTTATGATAAAGGATCCTAAGGTCACTTAAGTTGGGTAAATTCTGTGTGCTATTCTTGTCTTAGAGAGTCACAGTTATATTAGAATAATAAAGATGCTGAGAAGTTCTGCTTTAAAGAAATATATTTAAGTTTGTGCTATTGTTTCTCAAATTTGTCAACAAAACATCCATCTTGTTTTCCTTAATGCACATTAATATTCTGCTTCTTGTGCATCAAAGGGAAGAAATGTGTCTCTGCTGACATACTGAGGTAGAGAATGTATGACTATGTAAGCACAGGTTAAATTTGCTTAAGATGATAACTCTGAATAGAAGTAATTAGAGTTCCAGGTTATTTTTTAGGACATATTAAAGGTACATAACTTCTTGAGGCCACATGTAAAACTATGTAACCTACTGTTTCACTAGTATAAGAAAATAAATCAATGAATTTTGAAAAATGAAATGAACTCACTTCAGCTGATGAAAAGAACTCTTATTTAAAATATTAATTTTAAAGAGTAACTGAATATTAATTTATTCAAATTAGCTTTAATTACAAAGTCATAAAAATTCATGTTATTTCAGAGTACTGAGACGAATATGTCAATACCAAAGAAAATGTGTAAAAGGTAGGTACGTGCTATAATGATAATTTTTTCAGATATTTAGATATACTTTATATACAGATACGTACATCTTGATTTCTTCCTTTTCTCTCCATAGGCCATGCATTCTCATACTAGACTCCTTGAAAGCTGCTTCTATACAAAACACAGTTCAGAATTTACGAGAGTAAGTAATGACAGTTTTACCCTTTAGCCTGTTACCTAAAAATCTCAGTAATTTTGAAGTGACCTCAAGAATTACTGAAAAGACTATACAGAATTATATTTTATTATGTTTAGATGAGGCCTATAAAACTAACCAATAGTATATATCCCCTAATATGTGATAATATTCAAGTATCAATATTTCTCAAGGATTATAGCAAAAGTAAATTTGGAATTTATTCATAACTGAACAAAAAGCATAATTTTACAAGGGAGCATTGCAAATATTAGTGATTGTCAAAAGTAACACTTCAGAAAAAATAACTTTTACATTCTTACTGTGTGTGTGTGTGTATATATGTGTCTAATTTTCTAATTTACTGTAGGACCTGGAAAAAACTAGCAGCTAAAGTTTTAAAATAATTTGTTAGTTTACTTTGTCATATAAATAACTGTTTTTGAGTTGTGAAAGTTGAGTTGTTCAAAAGGTCTAGCTTTTAGTTTGAAACTCAGAAGGCTCTTTCTGAAGGCTTACATATAATTTGTAGTGTTAAAGTTCAGTCTTTGGAAATTTGGCTTGAGGCAGCACATCTAGCAGCAAATGTGTTTTCACTTTTGTGAAAGTATTGCATAATAGTAAAGGTATTTTTACTCAAGTCATTCTATTTTTTGATGATTAAGGTATTTAGAGGTAGAGTGGGAAGTCAAACGAAAAACTCATCGTGAATTCAACAAAACAAACATGGTGGACCTGTGCCCTAAAGTTCCTAAACAGGATAATAGCAGTGATTGTGGAGTATATTTACTTCAATATGTGGAAAGCTTCTTTAAGGTATGTAAAGATATAAATAAGTTTCTTTTTCAGTTACCAGCATGTAATCACAAATTACTGGCAAAGCGAAGAAGCAGGAAATGTTACAGATAATCAGGAAAGAAAAAAAAAAAAAAAGAAATGGAACTGCAGATAACCCAGATATTGGAGTTAGCAGATAAGAACTTTAACATGATTTGATTAATTTGTTGGAGAAAATAGTCAAAGACGAACAAAGTGGATCAAGAGATGGAATTTACTAAAAAGTATCAAGTTAAAAACATACAATGATATATCTGAAAATAAGAAATTATTGGATAGGTTTGATAGCAGACTGGATACAACAGAAGACAGGATTAGTGAACTTCAGAAAAATGTAAGAAAGTATCCAACTTGCTCACAGAGAAAAAAGAATGTAAATAAGAAAACAGAGCATAAGAGACAAGTGTGATACAGCCCAAAAGTCTAATGTACATGTAATTGGAGTTCCAGAAAGATTACATGGTAGAGTGGGGGGGAGAGTAAGGCAGAAAGAAATTTAAACAGAAATTTTTAGAACTGAAAGACTCATCATGTATTCAAGTAGCTCAGAAAACCATAAGCTACATAAGCACAGTGACAAGCATGGATATTATTTTCTAGATCATTGCAAACTCTATAGGAACTGTAGCAATATTTAAGAAGAAATTTTAAATAACAAGGAATCACTCTTTGCTTTTTCAACTGTCAGCTTATTGCCAGTATTATTTATGAAGATAGGTGTAGGAACTGGGTTATATGGTTTCTTGGAAAAACCTTAAAGGTACTTGCAAAGCATGAGGGTTGTAGTATGTAGTTGCAACTTTTGGTATAATTGGAGAGGAATGATACTAAACAGTAGAATGTGGTACACATTATGGAAACCATTAATGTTACGTTGGATTTTTTTCCCCCTTTTTTATTCCACATTGGAACTTCATTATAGGGTGACAATTCTGGTCTTCTAATACTCTTTCCAAAGAGATTTTATTTTGATTTTAGAACATTCAGAATGCCTTATTACATAACATATTTTGAGTCTGTTACATAATTCTACTTTACATAGCCTCAGTCAGTAGAATATACTTCTAATAAAGGCTATAGCGCCATTTAAGATTCCTGATGGAAAACCTTAAAAAACTAAACTAAACCTTGTGTTTTACAAATTTATGCAGTAATGTAACTGAGCTTAGGTGGGGGGAAAAAAAAAGATTTGGGGTAGACCATTCAAAACATGTAGAACTTGTAAACTAAATCTTAAAAACAATATTATTTCTTTCTTTCTTTCTTTTTTTTCTTTTCCTTAATTGGGGAACATTGTTTTTCCAGGACCCATCAGCTTCAAGTCAAGTAGTTGTTTCATTCTAGTTGTGGAGGGAGCAGCTCAGTGGCCCATGTGGGGATTGAACCTGCAACCTTGGTGCTATGAGCACTGCTCTCTAACCAACTGAGCTAACTGGCAGCCCCAACAATATTATTTCTAATAAACGTACTTGTGTAGTTAAATCTCCGCTGACATTTGCTCCTAGAATGACAGTCTGTCCATCCTTTCTGCATTATACTCTGGGACTCTGAATTCCTTCTTTAAGATGTAAGTCCTTCTTACATCTGGATTCTAATAGTTTCATCAAATTTATAAACATGACCTAGGAGTAACCTCCTTCAGCAGTTATTTATTTTTTTAAACAGGGGGAAAGGTCTTTGCAGTTGCAACTTGCAACTAAGCTTAATATGGAAAAATACAGCAGTCTTTGAATCCATAAAATTGGCTATTTCTTGCACTAAAAGAAGGCATTTCTGGAGTATTTTTTATTTGAGATTTTTCATTTATTGTTAAGGCTTTCTCTTTGTTTTAATAGATTCAAAATATTAACATGTTGGAAAAAATTGTTCAAACCAACCTGACTTCTGCATTGTGCTGAATCATTATTTATTAATTCTGTTTGCACTATTCACCTAAACACTGTAATGGAACAGACAGTATTTAATTTTGATGAAAAGTTAGCAATTTAGTGAAAATGTTCTAAAATTGATTGTGGTGATAGTTACACAACTCTGTGTATATACTGAAAACCATTCAGTTGAGTTTTTCAGGTGAGTTGTATGGTATGTGAATGATCTCAGTAAACCTGCTATTTAAATACAGTTAGCAATTTTTCATTTCTTTTAAAAATGAAATTAAAACAAATTTGAATTATACTGCTAAAGTGATTGCATTCTTTCTTTTCTCTCTCTAGGACCCTATTGTTAACTTTGAACTTCCAATTCATTTAGAGAAATGGTTTCCTCGTCATGTTATAAAGACCAAACGGGAAGATATTCGAGAGCTCATTTTGAAACTTCATTTACAGCAACAGAAGGACAGCAGTAGCTAGTTAATCTGTATAAACAGGCACAGACGTTCTATACGATTATTGGAAAGCTGCTTACTAGCATTTGTGTTAGGCAGCTCACAGAGAGGAAAATAACTTTCAGTAGTTTTATAAGTCATTGAGCATTATTTAAAATATATAAGGTGTATTATTAGAATTGTTGGGATCTGATGGAGCAGAAATGGGTGTAATATACATAAACTTATTAGATAGAAATTAAAATTTCATAAATATTTGATATTTTTCTGATTAAATATGCTTGGATTATGCAATAGCATATGTAATGTGGGAATGTTTTTGTAGATAATAAAGCTATGTGATCTGTACTTCCACATACCTGGGAGTTGAGGGGGAGTTAGGTTCTCCCTGGTGCCAGCCCCAGTGCTTGTCAAATTTGTTGACAAGTCACATTATATTGTAATTCTATTCTTTGCAGCTCAAGCATGCAGTATGAATACTGTGTATTTTTTGTTTTTTTAAGAATTTAGTATCAAGGCTTCAGAAAATGCCATTTACGGCATCCCTTCTGTATAGTGCAAAAGAAGACATAATGTTAGGAAGATGACAAAAACTCAATCTTTCAAAGCGCAGCTTGTTTTTTTCAATTGCTAAGTGGAACCATTACTCTGCTGTATAATTTGTTTTCATCTTTTGATGTCATATGTGGGGATCTGAGAATTTAGTTCATTGATTCAGGGTAAAATTTGGAACAAAAAAGTTTAGCTGTCCAAAATAGGTTTTTAAAAATTATATATGTAGCTCAACTTAGATTATTTGAAGTATAGCTATCTATTGACTCCTTCATTATCCCAGAATATATGTACACAGTTTATATAAGTATAGAAGGTAAAATTGGTGTCCTCATAATTTTAATTAAAAAAATACCCTCAAAGTCTTATTTATTGTTAGAACTAAATATATAATTTTATAGCTCTGTTACCCAGTATTCATTTGCAAAGGCACATTGATGTCATTGCTTTTGTATTTTTAAATTGTAGTTTTTAGAGACCTAAAGTCCTCATGGAACTTGATTTTTTTAATTCAATGTCAGGTAACAGTTCTGAATTTGTGTGATAATTGTGGTATTATATAAATACTTCACAAACTTCTAAAGTTATCAGGAATATTTTGAGGGACAATTACAATGTATTTTGTCAAATAAGAAAAATGTTTTTTATGAATATCATTTTAATCTTGTGTTGTAAGCTTTTCTTGGATTTACATTGTAACTGTATATAAAGCAATGAAGCAAAGGCAAGGTAAAGCTAAAAATAGGAACATTTTATTTCAAAATCATGTGAATTGAGATTGCTAGTTAAGCATCAGTGTTCTTAAACTTTTATTAATCTTGACACCATCTTTATGTTGTTTTAAATATATTTGTCTTTTGGAGATTTCCTGTAAAGATGCTTATAATTACATGTTTCGTTCCCAATTTGTGTGTGTGTGGGAGGGGACTTTTTAAGGTGACTGTTAATTATTTTGTACATTTAATTTTGGGAAAGCAAGTATATAATACATCTTCTTTGTGATTTCTTAACTTTTTTGTTTGTGTGTTTTTCAAAGATACCACTCACTGTCCTTTATCATGTTTTGAAGATTGTTTAAAATTCATTTTCCTAAATTCATGTGGAAGTAATGTTTTGAGAATATCATTTTATATTAAACATGTTTCCAATTCATGAAATTGAGACGTAATTTTTTCTTAAGAAATGTGAGCCGTTCTTAGAAATAAATTTTGAATTGTGCCATAGCTAGTGCATATCATGTAACTGATGCTTAGATTATTTTTTCTTCCTATTTTAACAAGCATATAGTAAATTTGATTGTCAGTTCAGGGAACATTTTTGAAGTATCTACTACTAGCAGACAATTTGCCAGGTACAGTAAAATGAATGACAGCTCTTATTCCTGAGTCATTTATAGTTTAACGGGAAAAGTAGACATACGAACAGTCTTAATATTCTCTGGTAAAAACAATCATAGTTTCTTTGGGAGCACAAGAGGGAGTTCAGCCTAGGAGAGTATGTGTGTGCATGTGAGGTAGTGAGAGGTGGTAGAGAGGTAATAAGAGGGTTGTAAAGTGGATGGGGAAAAAGCCTTCCTAGAGAAGATAATATTTTTAATTCACAAGTCTTGGGATAAAAGATAGTTTTTGTTTTGTTTTGTTTTGTTTTTAAAGATTTTTATTGGGGAATTGGGGGGATGGGAACAGTGTTGGGGAATTGGGGAAAGGGGAACAGACAAGTTGCTGTCCTTTGTTCTTCAATCTAGTTGTGGAGGTTGTTGCTTCACTGGGCCAAGTTGGCACCATCATTGCGCTCTTCTCTGGCGAGGCAGATCAGTCGCCGGCTTCTGGACGGCCGCTCACTGCGGCTGCTGGCCGCTCACGCTGGCTGCTGGCTACATACGGTAGCCCATGGCAACCCACTGCCACAGGGACTGCAGCCTACGCCGTCGCCGGCGACTCATGGCAGCCCAGCTCCAGGTTGAGCTGTCCTTCAGCATCCTAGTTGTGGAGGGCAGTGTCACTGGCCCTCATATGTGGGATCCGAACCGGGGCCCTCTGGCATCCCAAGCGAGTTCTTAACCATCGCGCCACTCGGCCGGCCCGATAGTTTAGTTTTTTTTTTTTTTAGTCATATCCAATTACTTAACTAGGACTTAGAAACAGTTTAATACCTCTTAAAATCAGCTTCTTTCTCCATTAGGGAGGAAATAGGTTTAGCCAATTTTTTTTTTTTTTTTTTAGCAGAGCCATCCTGCCACCTGTTGGCTAGCTCAGCTGCAGTGGCAGCTCAGCTTGGGCCAGGACTCGAACTGCGTTGCTCAGAGCTCTCGCTCTTGAGTTAGCTCTTAACCAACTAAACCACTCGGCCATCAGAGCTTGCACTCTTGTATTAGCTCTTAACCAACTGAGCCACTTGGCCAGCCCAGAAAATAGGTTTAGAGTTATCATACAGAGAGAGCCTTTTTTAATCTTGTTTAAACCTATATTCTATCCTCATCTTTCCACTGTCACCTACTTTTTGGTCATATAAAATTATTAATTTATACTTTAATTACTTTTGGCTTAATATGAAATTTAAGCCCTTTATTCATTGGAAATTATCTTGTGTTTTCTTTCGCTCAATACTGTTTCTTTGGCAATGTAGTGAGCTAAAATAAATGTGAAATGTTAGCTGTATTCAACAGTTTTTTAAATGTTGAAACTATGTCTGGACTGGGAGAACTGTGGCATGCACATTCTGACCTGAGTGACTAGACTGTATAAAACCTTTCTGGAAAACATAGGCCCCTGCCTCCCTCTGTGGAGTCTCATAACTGGCCTTGTCTTTGTGGAAATTTAGAAACTTCCCAGTGGCTGTTAAGACATGGTTCTGTGTGGATGAGGCTTCCTTATGCTGGTGTGGTCTGCACCCACCCAGGTGGCCTCTTATAACTGAGTGCATCACTTTTGGGGGCTGGAGAAATCAGGGTCAGGACTCCTACAAGGACTCCAGTTGAAGATGTGCTTTACTTGTCAATCATGGTAACGCTGTTTTCTGAGCTGTATTCTAATACAAAGTAAATGAGCTATTAATAGGTGTGACTGAATGTCACTGTGAATCCAAGGTCATAAAGTGGTTGTGTGAAATAGGCGTTGCACCATTGTACCTGCACACCTCAGGCCTTGTACATGTTATTCCTTCTTCCTAGAACACTCTTTCACTACTTTTTGTGAACTTCGTTGTTTTCAAAATCTGGCTCAAATGTCACCAGCCCACACTTGCTCAAATGGAATAATTCATTCACTCTCTTCCCCCATAACGATTTGTTTATATTCCTCTTATCAGTTTTATTTCATTATTTGTATACATGTTTTTCTTTTGGACTACAAGCTCCTAAAAGACTGAAACACTTTGCATTTCCTCTATTTAGTATGTGAATAGCATATAATTAACATTCAGAAGATTTTGCTGAGTCAGTAATGATTCTCAACTGATTGGGAATTAAGGTATGGATGAAGGAAGCTGGTATTTGTTATTTCTAAAGCACAGAGTTTTATATTTAGTTTCTTATCTGCTTATAATTTTGGGAACATTTCTGGAAGCATAACATGGTTCAAGGATCATCAGCTGAGATTTCTGAAATATTTCTTAAAAAGAATCTCCATAAATAAAAAACAAGGAATATTTTTTCTGAGTAATTAAACATTAGATAATCTTCATCTATAGGAAAAATCCTCTTGATAAGACTTTAATGGTATTTCATAATCTACCTCAACCTTTTTTGCCTTCATTCTCAACCTATTTATCCTATGTTCCCGTTACTGCTCTAGCGGATATCTTGCTGTTTCCTGTTCAAACAGCATATTTTCCTACCTTATTGATCATGACCAGGGTTTCTTTCCTAACTCCCATTCTCTCCCACTAACTAGCCCCGCCTCTGCCCACTGAAATGTCCCCCAGGTCATTCAAGGCCTGGCCACAATGTCATCTCTAATAACCCCCTTTTACTTTTCCAGTTGGAATTAATCTTGTTTCTGGGTTCCATGGTCCAACATTATAATAGTCATCACCTACTGCTTTATATCATAGATACAGTTATTCTAAGAAAGCTGCGGTTAAAAGTTACAGTTACATTAAATGTCAAGTTAAAATAAATTTGTAAAATGATAAACCTATTTAGAAGCAAATGAACCCAGCTGAAGTTTTCATACTGTCATTATTTTTTTAAAGTACAGGTTTCTGAAATCTCAAACTATACTTTATAGAACATAATATAATAGACATTTTTAAAGTTTTTAAGTAAATAATTAAATTAGGGAAAATTTATTTCATTCTGGAATTTGAACAAAAAAGAATTCCAAAGTTTGAAACCTCTTAAAACCTTATGAACACTTGTAATAAAAGACAAATAGTATACATTAGTTTACAAAGACTTTTCATATTTCCTCATTTTTCTCTGTGATATAAGCAGACATTATCAGACCTGATTTCTTTGGTGAGTACACCTTTTCCCAACAATAAAATTTGGCAAATAAAATTCTTACCAACGTTTTGCACATGTATTTAATGGTTATTCAGATGTGTTAGTTTATATAAAGGCTGAAAATGTGGTTTGTATGAGGCTGTATTGAAAAATATACTTGTGTTTTTCCTAAAGCATAAAATACTGAGGATAATTTAGCTACCAATTAGTTTAGGATTCTCAAGACAAATGTTTTAGATTTTTACAAGACATTTTTTTAAAAGAATTGCTTTTTGATAGTAAATTCTAGCTTCTACAAGGATTTTAACTAAATTGCGCTCTACTAAGTTTATTTGATAAAAGCAACTGTTCTAATACAAAGAATTTTATCTGATCCTATTGTGGTAAAGCAGCAGTTCTCAATCTGTGGGTCACGATCCCTTTGGGGGTCGAACGACCCTTTCACAGGGGTCGCCGGGTACTCCTATGTGGGCATATCTGCATGTGGGCCTGGAGACGGATAGAGGAGCGGTGTCTCGGTTCCTAAGACCATCGAAAATATGTGTTTTCCGATGGTCTCAGGCGACCCCTGTGAAAGGTTGAGAACCGCTGTTAAAGGCTATTCTTTCTTGGTCAAGAGTTTCTCATATCAATAAACACACTGGGCCTTATATTTAATAGTAAATGAAGCAACAAAGTTGTTTTCACATAGCTATCACTTATATTATGTACTTAGTATGCACCAGTCACTATTCTAAGCATTTTCTGTGTATTACTTAATTCAATCCTCACAACAGCTCTATCGTGAGTTAGCTTTACTACTCCTATTTTATAGATAAGGGATAGTAAGTGGTTATAGTGAAAGTGGTTATAGTGAAAGATTTTCAATTATCAAGGAGGGAAATTTAAGAACAGTAGCTTTATTATAAAGAGAAACATCTCCAAGAAAACTAATTTTGTTTTGTATGCAGCTCTGCACTTCAGAATTAGATAGGTATCATTAGTCTGGGCATTTCATTGTAGGTCCTAGAAGAACCCAGAGAACATGTGAGTCTATCAAGTTTGACTAATAGATTCAGAAAAATTGTAAAACTTAGTGAATTATGTATGAAACATTATTTTTAAATGAACTGCTTGTTATAGGCAAGGAGAGTGTTAGTAAAGAGCTTAGCTGGCTAGATTAGAATAAATTGTCTCTCTCCATCTGTTCTAATTAGCTTATCCTGCTTTCATAGCATGCTGGTTAGTTCAGAAAAGAAGTGAGAGGTACTTTTAAAGGACACCATTTTTACTTAAGCTCATTTATAATGGTTTTGGAATATTTGTCAGTTCTTAAACATAAGCTTTTGAATGTTAGACCTTTCCTGTAACTTATTATTGGAAGTTTCAGGGCTTTGGGGCTCAGTTAAGAATTTTGGCCTCTCCTCATTCCTTTGGTTTTGGCCAAATGATTATGTTTCCACATTTTGGAAAGATTTCTTTGGGTATTTTGATATTCGTCCTGATAGAAGAAAACCTTTCATCATTAACAGGTATTTAAAAATCTACATTGTTTTTATCTTTTTTTAATATCTATTATATTCTCTCTAAAAATTTTATTTGATGTCACTACTGTAAGAAATTGAATCAAATACTACTCTATTAATCTTTGATATTGCTTCATTTAAACTGTTAAAAATCTCTTCAGGGATTTTCGTTTTTCTCTTCATTAGTAATTCCTGGATCAAACCTTACTTCCTTTTATTTCTTGTATTGAAAGTAGAGGTAGGTACACTTGATTTCAATAACTAACAATCTTGAAATAAAGAAGTAGGAAATAAATGGAAAAAAGATTGAATGCTTCACTCCTTAGGCATGCATCTACAATCTGAGATTGACTTCAAAATCCAAATGTGGCACAAATGTCAGTTTTTCTTTATTTGTTACCTTTCATACTGTATCTTCATTTATTAACAAAAGCCTTGTTTATGCTATCACTCTGTTGCACAAACCTACTTATCTTTAGAAGAAATCCAAGAACCCAAGAGTGCAGTTTCTTTTCTCCTGACCAACTCAGAATCTGCAGACCCTTCTCTGTCTACAGACAAGAAACAACCCTTGGGCCACAGAGAAGCTGAGAGACAATGGTTGCTCCGAAGAAGGCGATCTACTCTGTTTCCTCATGGAGTAAAAATCTGCCCAGATGAAAGTGTTACAGAGGCGCTGGCAAACCATGTGAAGTATTTTAAAATCCGAGGTAAGTGAACATACAAATACTTGGGCTCTGTAAGGAAATTGAAACGTAGTTTTATCACATTTGTTCTATCTCATTATAATAAAATTTGTGATGTTATTGGGACTGAGCCAAATATTATCTTTCTACTAACTGTCGAAAAATAACTTGCCGAGACTATAGTATTTATACAGCTTCAGAGGAAAGTTTACACCATTTTGAGAGGTAATGGTTCAAGTATGGTTAAGCACTTCAAAAATGCCAGTTGATGTTACTGGATAAATATAATTTTTACTTCTTCACTACAGTAATTTGCCTAAATATACCCACAAAATATATTTACCAAGCTATACATACTTACTTGATTAATTAGTTATTTGATACATGAAAATATAATCGATTTCAATATTTTGATTGGGTTGTTGGAAAAGTTATGACATATTTTTTCTATGTTTTTCGTTGCAAAAATGCATCATGACTTTTCAGACAACCCAGTAGTATAGACATTCTGTAGACTCATGCTGGTTACTCTCTAGTTGTTAAACATAAATTTTTTTACATCTAAACTGATGGTACTTCTCACGAAGGAATGGGCATTAAAGCAACAAAATAGGATTTTATTTTATTTTTAATCAAACAGTATTATCTTCCATATCGTGCCTGTTTATTATGTGAATTCATGCTCTATTTCCTATTTTACTAAACAAAATTGCTTAATTGACCATAATATAGCCCTTAAATATTTGGAGGACTCCCAAGCTTTGCTTTTTGCTGCTCAAGAACCAATAAAAAGCCATAATATGGATGTGATGCTGCTGGTAAACTAAAGTGGAGATAGATGACGAAATGATAGTAAAATCAGTCTTGTTCATTCAACAAATGTTTATTTAGCACTTACTATTTATTTAGTACTTACTATTTTTCAGGCAATGGGCTATATCAACAGTCGGTCTGAACAGCTACTTTATCTTTTATTTTCCTTTATTTTGCCCTTTCACTCTTTCTCCCTTCCAAGCAAGTGAAAAATCTAATATCAGATATTACATATATTTAAATATTTGATTTTTTTTTTTTGGTTTCTTAAGGTGGCACAATGTATTAGCACTTTTTAATTAAAAAAATTTTTTTTGGAGTTCATTTATATCTCTTGATTGTATTTGGGGGATATCAAACATTATTAAGAAATAAGCTCCCCTTTTGCTTTTTTAATGGAAATCCACTGACCCGGCCTTTTGTGTATAGGGCATATGCTAGAAGTGGCAAATTTCGAAGAGAAAAGGAACTGAAGATGAATGAGGATAACAGTTTATAGCTTATCAAAATATGATTTCTACTACCTGGATTTTTACTTTATATTATTTTTAAATAGATCAGAATATCACAATAGCTGCTGCTTAAAGAGTCAAGAGGAAACAATCAATCAAAACCAGTCATTTAAGGAATGTGATTATGCCTTTTAATTGCTTTGCTCTTGTGTTTATAAATTCAAGAGATGCTATTGAACAGGACCCAACAAAAAGAAAAATAAAGCATTCCTAGAATAATTGACTTTAAAATCCAGATGCTGTGAGTGGTATTATTGGAAAGGGACCTCATAAAGCTGAAAGGCCTGGACAGCACATCAAGATTGCAACAATATTGATATAGCTGTTACTGTCATGGTAAAGAGTGCATATTTCATTTGTTATATTTTTGAAAATTAGGTAAAATGAGTATTTCAACATAGGTCTTGATTCTGAAGAGATTTCGAAGAGATAATTGGATTTTACTCTGAGAACCAAATAATTGGAAATTGGAGCTAGAGATCCACTTAGTGTCCAACCAAGGATATTAGCTCGTTATACCACGCTAATTCAATCTAATGGTTTGCCCTGTTTTTGCTTATAGAGAATTTAGTGTATGTTGCTAGTTGGTTTAACAGATTTGAAAAATATCTCCATTTAAGCAAAAAGCAACTACATTTATTTTATTATTTTTTTTTAATTAAATTTATTGGGGTGACATTGGCTAGTAAAATTATATAGGTTTCAGCTGTACATTTTTATAATACATCATCTATATATCACATTGTGTGTTCACCACCCAGCGTCAGTTCTCCTTCCATCACCATATATTTGATCCTGTTTACTCACATCTACCACTCCCCTCCCGCTTTACCCTCTGGTAACCACTAAACTATTGTCTGTGTCTGTGAGTTTTTGTTTGTTTGTCTTGTTCCTTTATTTAAGGTGTAAATAGTCATTTTATTTTATTTATTTTTTTAAGATTTTATTGGGGAATTGAGGGAGGGGAACAGACAAGTTTGCTGTCCTTTTGTTCTTCAGTCTAGTTGTGGAGGACGTTGTTTCACTGGACGATGTTGGTATTATCATTGCACTCTTCCTGGGTGAGGCAGATCAGTCACCAGACACTGGAGGGCTGCTCACAGCGGCTCTTGGCAGCTCACGCTGGCTGCTGGCCACTCACGCCGGCTGCCAGCCACTCACTGTAGCTTATGGCAGCCCCCTTCAGCTTCACTGCAGCCTACGCTGTCGCTGGCAACTCCTGGCAGCCCAGCTCCAGGTTGAGCTTTTGTTCACCATCTTAGCTGTAGAGGGTGCAGCATCACTGGCCCTCATGTGGGATCCGAATTGGTGGCCCTGCTGCTCAGAGCTCACGCTCCCAAACCAATTCTTAACTAACGAGCCACTCGGCCAGCCCTCAACTTAGTTATTTTTATTTTTATTTATTTATTTATTTATTTTATTGGGGAATTGGGGGCATGGGAACAGTGCTGGGGAATTGGGGGAAGGGGAACAGAGAAGTTGCTGTCGTTTTTGTTCTTCAGTCTAGTTGTGGAGGACGTTGCTTCACTGGCCCAAGTTGGTACCATCATTGTGCTCTTCCTGGGCGAGGCAGATCAGTCGCCAGCCTCTGGACGGCCGCTCACTGCGGCCGCTGGCCGCTCATGCTGGCCGCTGGCCACACACGGCAGCCCATGGCAACCCACTGCACAGGGGCTGCAGCCTTCGCCGTCCCAGCGACTCAAGGCAGCCCAGCTCCAGGCTGAGCCGTTGTTCAGCATCTTAGCTGTGGAGGGCAGTGTCACTGGCCCTCATATGTGGGGTCCGAACCGGGGCCCTCTTGTGTCCCAAGCCAGTTCTCAACCTTCGTGCCACTCGGCCGGCCCTCAACTTAGTTTTGATTTGTTCTCCTCTTTAATACAGTCTTAAAATCTACAGCTTTTTAAAATGAAAGTGTTGAACCCAGGTCTAAAAAATAATTTTTAAATTGAAAAAGAATGACTTTTGAAGGGTATTTTTATAACTCGAATGCATATCAGACACATACTGAAAAGCCTATAAGATAATATTCATTTCTTAGTGGTTGTGTGAGAAGGAAATAGAAGATAGAGGGAGAAGTAGTAATCTATAACACTGGAAATTCTGTGCATTGAAGCTAACAGTGATATGGCTAAGTGCCAAATTCTGTGCTGTTGGTGATATGAACACTCTGCCTTAGTAGGGATGAATTCATTGTTTTTAGTTCCACAAGAGTCATGACACAAATACAGTAGGGACTAACCTTGATACACTCTATGTCTTATCTTTAATTCTCCTTTAACCTTATCTTTAGCTGTCCTTTAAAAGAGTAAATATTTTTAAATTAAAATTTATTGGGATGACAACGGTTAGTAAAATTACATAGGTTTCAAGTGTACAATTCTGTAATACATCATCTATATATCACATTGTGTGCTCACCACCCAGAGTCAGTTCTTCTTCCATCGACAAATATTTAACCCTCTTTACCCTCTTCTACTATCCCCCTGCCCTCTTACCCTCTGGTAATCACTAAACTATTGTCTGTGTCTATGAGTTTTTGTTTCTTTCTTTCTTTGTCTTGTTCCTTTGTTGCTTTCAGTTTTATATCCCACATATCAGTGAAATATATTACCCTAAAAAAAGACTCTCCATACTCGGTTTCTATGTACTGGATAAGACGCACAGCCTGAGCCCTAGTAACAGGATTAAAGACAGATTAGATGCTGGCATTTCCTTCTTCCACCAGTTTGCAGAGCAGGTTTTCTCTGCTAGAAGAGAGGCATTTGTAGACTACTTATTTCCTCACAAATGGAAAGTTATCTTCAGCAGAAACTAAAGGCTACATGAAAATTATTTGACAGGAATGGGACTTCTGAAGAGGTCCCCCTCTAGGTCAAGTAGTGAAGTATGTGGCATTTGTCTCCGGTGGAGTTTTGCCTTCCTTAGTACCTTTTTCCCTGGAACCATGCTGCTTTTGTTCTTCTCTCTAATGCCTGCAAGTGTCCTATCTAGGTCTTCCCTCTCTGAGCTGCATGAATGCTCCAGACATTCCCCCACCACCCACACTCAGTTCTCTTCCTCTGTTGAAATGTAAAATAAATGTTCTGAATTCTTTTATTCCAAGTTAGCTCTTTGGACCTCCTTGTCAGTCAGATAGCTCCCAGTTGAAAAGTCACTGGATAAATAAATTAGTTTTCCAGAGGGAATTGCATTTTTTTACAGTTTTGTTGAGATATAACTTACATACCATATAATTCACTCACTTAAAGTATAGAATTCAGTGGTTTTTTAGTATATTCAGAGAAATGAGCAACCATCACCACACTCAGTTTAAGAACATTTCATTATCTCAAAAAGAAATACCACACCTTTTAGCTATCACTCCGTTATCCCTCTGTCTTTCCTACCTCTCTCCTCAGGCCTATGCCATTTATCTACTTTCTGTCGCTATAAGAATTGCCTCTTCTGGATATGTCACATAAATGAGATAATATAATATGGGGTCTCTTGTGACAGGCTTCTTTCGCTTAGCATAATGTTTTCAAGGTTCATCCATGGTGTAGCACGTATTAGTACTTTATTCTCTTTTTGGGTCAAATAATACTATTGTATGGATATACCAGATGTAGTGTATCCATTCGTCATTTGATGGGCATATGAGTTGTTTGCATTTCTCTTGGGTATACGAGTATATTTAGGAGTAGAATGTCTGGGTCGTAT